CTCAAAACGTTCCTCATGACCTTTATGAAGAGTAGATTTGAGGAGGTCGTAAGAAGCTTATATCGGCGTTCTAATACTTGTATCAAGCGTCACTCGTACCAGCTACTGACCTAAGATTAGATACAGCTCTCGGGGAAGATTTTATTACTCAGGATTACTAGGTTTTGGGGCTTTGTCCACCGCCCGGTGTTCTAAAAACACAAAAGAACACAGAGTACCGGATGATTCACAAAGTTAAAAAAACTCCCTAATTCTGAGTGTTATAAAGAATCGTCAGAACCCTTTAGGATCTACGGTTTTGTTAAATAGATCTGTACGGACATCAGCTAGGTTCCTGTTCAGAAAATAGAACACTTCCGAAATCTTTATAACCTAATTGATATTCCCTTATTGACACTAACTACACTTGCCACAAATACCAGTTTACACAGAATTGAAACGCTACACTGAAACAAAAGACTTTTCGCCCGTTTGTGATCGACTACGAAGGCCTAGTTCTGTACATTTAAAAGTATGGTAACCAGATACGGCGTAATTTCCCAGCTTTGGTATGAACGGCCGAGAGACATAATCAAGGTGAGAATAGATTTCAAACGAGCGGGCGTACAGCTCTGTGGGCTTTTGCATTCGTTCAAAATTTCAACCGGGCCAGAAATGCTTAGAGCATCGTTTATCAACCTGTGGTCCGCGGACCGCAGGGGATCCGCGATAATGGGACAGGTAGTCCGCAAGCAGACTTAAATTAAATTAAATTAAATTAAAAATTATTATCCAACCAAAACAAATTAAAATTAAATAAGCAAGTAAAAATTAATTATACCATATTCATTATTTGTTTAATAAACTTAAAATTTTGTTCAATGATGATTCACTCCTAATAGTTCACTTTCAAATTAATTAATTATGTTTCCATGTGTATTCAAAACATGCTATCAGATTTATTATGCTATAAATGGCACAGTATGTCCCAAAAGTTGGTAATACCACATAGGTTTTAAAAAATAGGCCTACACAACTTAGTGGTCCGTAGAATTTTTTCAGACATTTTACTGATCCTTGGGCTTAAAAAGGTTGAGAAACACTGGCATAGAGGATTACGTGTATGGGAATAAGTAACTAAAGAGTAACAGGGATCAGATACAAGAAGTGTGTGTAATGAACGACAGTGAAAGCAAAACATTTAGTCATATTTTGACAGAACTGAAGATGTCCCGGACATAAAGGACAAAGGGACTACAGTCAGGCATGAGAGATTCTCGAACGAATCAAAATTTCGTGAATAAGGACCAACGTGAAGATGGATACTTTATTGTTCTTCAGGAGTGCTTTGAGGGGACTGTGTGGCGTATGCTGTTTCGACGACCACAGTCCAAGTGATCAGAAAAGAAAGAAACGAACCCTTCCTTTGCAGTGCTCATGCGCAACACAACGGAAGTACCACAGAGGATGAACGTTTACTTCACTCAACGATGTCGCTATGCGCCCTGTAAGAACAGCCCACAAATTGCACATTACAGATAATGAGCTGCTTACTGCAGAAGAGAAAAGATAATACGTTCGGTAAGTCTGCTGGTAGCCGATTACAAGGGCCGCCCGGTGTAAGGTATGAACTGTCTTCGCCCGCTAGAACACTGTGATCGTGGCTTCGAATCCTACTCGAGGTATGGATGTCTGTGTGTTGTGTGTTTGTGTTGTTCTGTGTGTAGGTAGCGGCCTTACGATGGGCTGATCCCTCGTCCAGGGAGTCCTACCGACTGCGTATAGGATTAAGAAACTGAAAAGGCGGGCAAGGTTCAAAGGGCTGTAGACGCAGAGAGAGGGAACCAAAGCCTGCTGGTGTGATAGGATTGCGTAGTCGGAACGCAGCAACAGAGACTGTATTCAGGAAAACTGAAATGCCCAGTTCTAACCTTCGTCAACGGGTTGGCTCCGAAGAATTTCGAGATTGGACTCTTCACAAACGCCATGTACGCTATAGGCGCCAGAGCGGTCATCAGGCGGATCTTGGAATTGTACTCAGTTAGGGTTGACGTCATCACGAAGAACATGGTGGTGCCCATGGAGTGGCCTATATAGTAGAGGTCCGGCTGGCTTGTCTGCTCCAGCACATAGTCGATGGCTGCTGGCAGATCGTATATGCCCATTTCGTGCCAACTGTAACAATTCGCTTTTTCTTTATTCACTACTCGTTTATGCCCTTATTCAGATTTTCATTTTTTATTAAATTAAATGTGAACTTATAGAAATGTAACCAGTAAAGTTGACCACAATCATCCTATATCATAAGTCTGATTATTCAGAATACTTGTATGAAGTAAATTAGAAATAACTACTTTGGAATAGGTATCCTACAGTGTCCAGGCAGGTTGAGTCCTACTACATCTGCTGTCTGTTCATCCATCCGTCTGTCTGCAGCCCTTTGTTGGACCTTGGCCGCCCTTTCAGTTTCTTAATCCTTCTATACACAGTCGGTAGGACTCCTTTTACGGTGGATGAGTCCGTTGCAAGGCCGCTACTTACACACAGAACAATAAAAGCACAGAATAAACGCAAACAGACATTCATGCCTTGAGTGGGAATCGAACCCACGGTCGCAGCGTTCGAGGGAGCGAAGAGAGTTCATGTCTTAGACCGCGCGGCCACTTTGATCGGCCCTAATTAGTACACTGTTTCGAAATGTATCCGAAAACGTTTCACAGCCGTCAGTGTATGCCAACAAGTTACGCGCGACGCTACGACGACGTATGGGTGGCTGGAGGTAAAGCTACATGTATTCTTAACATCGGTGTTAGATTGAAATGAGTGCTCAGTTCAACAGCTTTCCTCTAAGGAGAAAATTCTTCATTACCCAGTATAGAGGATGTTGGGCGGGCCCCAGAGCCGATCTGAACATGGCAGCTGACAGCCAAGTCCTCTCTCCTTCCCTGAATCGAGCCCCGGCCGACCAACCGAGAGTCGATCACTGATTGAAATGTTCCAAGCCGATTATGAAGTCCTACTTAATTATGCGCCACGCCACACACAGAGGTATGGGTTCGCTCATTTTTAACTTTGATATTACATCCAGATAAATGCCGACTAGAATCCTTAATGTTGGTACGTAAAAGGAAGAGACCATGTGCTAAACTATGGGAAATTATACTCAGACATCGCAGTGTCTTATTATTTTACGAAGGCCGCTTACTTGTGGCTGCGGCAAAATGTTAGGCTTCTCAGTAAGCATGTGTGTATGTCACTCGGTGACAGCCGCTTACGAGAATCGTAGGAAGTGGTGATACCCGTGCCTGAACACACCTCTTCGATATGCTGGCCATACAAGAGGCACATATGTGCACGGCTAAGCCAGATATAGCGCCAAGCTTAACGACTCTAAAGCAAAATTCCTGCTTGAATAGATCTCATCGTAGTTAACAGTCTTAGTTCAGCAATGTCTGTATAATCAGGCGATCACCTGGTCTCCTGTCGCCCCCAACACTGGAACACACTGTGTTGCTTTGCATAAACTACTACTGTATTTCATCTTCTATCTTACATACACTTCTAAGTTCCTTATCATAAAATTTCTAATAGCCACCACTACTTAAAAGATAATATCTAAAATTTGATTCTAAATTATTTTCGGGCTTTCGGTCGTCTTTAATTTTCAAACCGGAAAAACTGCTGACGGAATACGAAAGTGTAAGTCAATAAGTTTTGTTGCTGTAGAAGCAACACTGCGGGATGCTGAAGAATATCGACATTCCTCTTTTTCGTAGCGCGTAATATGTCCAAGCGGTATTTAATTCCTCTGCAAGTGTTCTCTAGGGCAGTGTTCCGCAACCCGTGTGCCGTCACAAGGTGAAAGGCGTGACGCGAACTTTTACCTATTGTAAGAAATGAATTGTCGAATTTTATTCGTTTTATTTTATCCCAGTTACCGTGTTTCATATGCTTGTATTTTATTCTCAGCCACTGCACTGATTAAATAAGATGATGCTTGTTTATTCTTTATTACATGCTGTGATTTTTTATGTACAGTAATGTTGTATTCTAAGAAATTAAACGTAAATTATTTACTCACAGTTGTTGTTATATCATAGTTTTCATAATTGATTTATTTTTATTTTTCTCGCATCTGCGCAACTTCTTTGATATGCTTGCCGCATGTTCTGTGTACGTGCTTTTCCTTAAAACTGCAGGGATTAGCATGGGTTGTCTTAACTTTTATAACAATGTTTTGGTATTTGCCCCTGTTTGATAGAAGTTAGAGCTTTTTCAAATTTATGACTTTCTTCCTGCAACGATGCACCCACCGATTGTTGGATTTCATTCAAAATTATAAATATTTCAAAAATAAATCGATATAATGTCACTTCTTCCGTTTGAAGGGTAGAGATCCCGCGTTTTACAGTTGTTTCAGTTCTATAACAGCTGTGCTCTGAAGTAGTTCGCAAATTTTGGTTGCTAGTTAGAGAATTACATATGGGTCTTTTGAGATGTCCCTGACTCTATGGCCACTTGCTGACGGCAATAAAGTGATGATGGACACAATTAAAGAACATTTAGAAATGCTGCAGCAGAAATTCAATAAATATTTTGGAGAGAGTGTACAAGATTTCGACTGGATTCATTATCCATTTGTTGTGAAATCAGAACATCTTCCGATTAATATACAAGAGGAACTCGCAGATTTAAAAGCAGACAGAACATTGAAACTAAAACTTCTCGAAGTGCCTTTGGATACGTTTTGGTTGGCAATAAGGAGTGGATACCCGGCTATCTCCGAGAAGGCAGTTAATGTGTTATTGCCATTTTCAACTACATATTTGTGTGAACTGGGCTTCTCGACGTTAACTGAAATTAAGACATCAAAGAGGGAGCGACTCAAATCCATCGATGAAGAAATGAGACTTGCGTTGTCAACGATTCCACCACGGATCAGTCGCCTGTGTGCACCTAAGCAGGCGCAAGTATCACATTGAGGCTATGAGTAGAACTACTGTATTTACTTTAATAGTAATAGAAGTGTATTGTCTACACTCTACAGGGATTTAAAATTCATTAATTGTTAATAAACACACGAGTCGATTTCTGTTTAATGATAATAAAATAACAATATAATAATATTATACTCGTAGTAATAAGTTGATCACGTTACGTATTTATATTAATTGTCTGATATCATGCGTTTTTGAGGGGAATAACATTTTGGTGTGCCGTGTTGAGTCATGGATACTTCAAGGTGTGCCGCGAATAGGAAAAGGTTGCGGAACACTGCTCTAGGATTTGCGTTGTAACTCTTTCAATCGCGGCCACAATTCTGAGTTTCATTTCATCGAGAGACGTCACAGGGGTCTTGTAAACTATGTCCTTAACGTATCCCTATAGGAAGAGATTAAGCAACATAATACTGGGTGAGGGCGGAGATCACAGATTTGGTCCATCACGCCCAACCCAGCGGCCAGGAAAATGCATGTCAACAAATGTCCGCACAATACGAGCCCAACGTCGGGGTGCATCATCCTGCAAGTAGTATAGCCTTCTGAAGTAAAACGTTTTGAGTCACACATATTCTACGAAGAGTTCTATTTTTTTTTTTCGATTTGAAAATTATGGGCCACGGAAACCCAGACAATAATTTAGAATCACATTGTATTATTAGACATTAATTACGTCATTATGTGATTAAAATTATTAACTAATAACAATATGTATATAATGCGGATGTTAAAGTGTTGACTTTGTTTGGAATGGATTATTCCTTCATCATATAACACTAAGATCTCTAAAGACTGAACGAAGTAAATGCTTCATATTCAATTTTTTGAAAAATATTTTGGTCACACACGTACTAAAAATGCACCACTCATCTCAACTGTATGATTAACTGGTAACAGGTAAACTCTGCAATCAACACCTGTGATTAAATGCAAGCTATTTATCTTAACATCTACAGGTATTTCTAAATAAGAAAGGATGTAGTTTCTGTAATCAGAAAATCCACTTGTACCCTAAACCAATCTTCGTGAACCTAAATAATACAATTAATATAATAGAATATTACAGATAAAATGATCACAATAAACGTCTGACTTCTTAGCTGAAAGAAAATCTGATTCACTGCTTTACCTGAAATCCCAGAATTTAGAATCGGATGTGGAGAGACTGAGGTGTTTCTTGGAGTACGTGTTGCCTCTTGCATTTCCAAGCCACACATCAAAACCAGCGTCGGCCAAAAGGTATCCTGGATAACATAGCATCAGACTGATATCTTTGATGAAACTTTAATACCTTTATGTCGGTTTGTTAGGAATTTTATTTTAGATTTTAGACGATGGCACCGTATAGTGTTGGACTGTTTTACTGATTACACTTCTTCCCCTTGGCTGTAGCATCCAGGGTTAACAGGGTCCACTTCGAGGAACTCATACTCATCTATCCCTGCCTATGGCTCTACAGCCCTTGCGGACCTTGGCCGCTTTTCTTCGGTTTCTTAATCTGTACACAGTCGGTAGGACTCCTTGGACAGGAGTTCGGTTGGTCACAAGGCCTCTACCTACACACAGAACAACGCTAACACAAAATAAACGCTCACAGATATCAATGCCTCGAGTGGGTTTCGAAACCACGACTCCGTTGTTGGAACGAGCGAAGACGGTTCATACCTTAGACCACGCGACCACTATGGCCGACATTCATACTCATTGAGTACTAAAGCTGACTCATCAATTGAATTTCTGACTTATGACAAGTCACGACACTGTGCGCTCCAAGGTCTGTACTCGTACATTGCCGGCCTAGGTCGAAAGAAATGGAGTACTTGGACAATGACGAGTCAGAAAGTGCCCGCAAGGTATTTCGGGGAGTGACAATATCACAGATGCAGTACTGAGAAGGTCTAGTAGTCTGACTTTCTTGATAAACTAACGCATAAACCGCGCCATAGCTCAAGCGGTTAGTCGTTGGCTTCCCACCGCGGCGGCCCGGGTTCAATCCCGGATCTGGTCAAGTGGGATTTGTGGTGGACAAAGTGGCGCTGGGGCAGATTTTCTCCGAGTACTTCGGTTTCCTTTGTCAATCTTCATTCCACCAAATTCTCCATCATCATAATCACCCGGGGCAGGCTACAATAAGCCAATCAGTAGCCGCCGTGCCGAGTGGACACGGTTGGACTCTCACACCCCACTAAGCGAATTATAAAAAACTAACACATAAACAAATATGGGACAGAAGCAGAAAACAGACACTTGTATTTGCATTGAAACCGGAATCAATTTTATCACTAAAATGAGGCTTTTAATTAACAGTGAGCGCCATATAGGCACGGAGATCCTATGTTGCTGCTGTCCTTGCTGAGAGATTCGTTTATGGACCAAAATCTTGGCTCGTGCAGTCGAGGAGATGAAACTTGTCGCCTTGGATAATGGGACCCAAAGCACGAATATATAATGCCGCGGCCTTCATATATAATTGAATCGGTGTGAATAGACAATGTTAAACGCAGTGCGGCATGTGTGTTGAAACAATCGGTATCGTGGACGGCTAACAGGTGTCACTTGCTGCTATCTTCTTTTGTTTCCTTGGCACTACAGCCCCAATGGGCCTAGGCCTACCTCCATGAACTTCTCCGTTCACTTCGGTTTTTCTAGATGTTACATGTTCGGTAGGACTCCTTGGGCGGGTGATCAGCTCGTCGCAAGGCCTCTACCGGTACACAAACACAGAAAAACGCACACAAACTAAACATCCATGCCCTGAGTGGGATTGGAACCCACGATCTCGGTTTCCAAGCGACCGAAGACAGTACATGCCTTAGACCGCTCGGCTACCGTGACCGGCTGCTGCTATCTTACCAAGAGAATTTTCAGGTCCAAGGATGATCCAGTCGGCTGAGCTGGAGAGAATACCGTGTTGCAGAAACACGACGGGCTTGTTGGGTGCTGCAGGAGACTTGGGGCTGTAAGGAATGCGGTGAACTGTGAGGATGTAGCTGTCTTCCGTCGTCACTGTGTGGATTTCTGCAGGGTAACCGTACTTCTCTATCAGCTCCGGCTGTATTGAACGGGGTAAAAACAAGATCGTACTTAAGAAATATATCTGTCCAGTGGTTATTTGTGTTTCTTTGAAGAGGTTATTTAGTTCATGTTATTTACAGACTTAATGTACTGATTTTAGGCCTCTACTGTGGTTAATTAATGATGTTAATTCTCTTCATATGTTACTACCCCGTGTGGCTGTGGGCAATATTCTGGACGTTTTAGACTTATATACTACCTCCATCTTCGGGTTGAGTCATATTTAAATACGTACATTGTTATTGATATTCCCTACTACAAATTATGTGAGGGAAAAATATTCTGTGCCTTGATGAAGGGTGCTCTTTTTCAACACGAAGTGCCGCTGCATTATCACAGCCGTGCGATGGGTGTTCTTAATGCTCATGTCAATGGGAGATGCTAAAAGCTGAAGCATCTGTGGAGTACCCACAGCCACTGCCTGGAAAAACATCATTAGACATGTCCTTCTGCCGCACCGCAAAGCACACTGTTTACATGCCATGATGTCGGAAACTGAGGCATAAGATGAATTTTACTGTGTGACACTTTCGGCCAGCAGCAAGCCTATGTGTTTATCAGATGTCTGTTTTTGTCGGAAATGTAGTAACACTAATGAAGGCCATTCGAACATATGGGATTTTAAGGTCGCTTCAAGGTTAATTTCTAGATGGCCGCTTGTTTTAATGTTAAATAAACCGAGTAAATCATGTATTAGTTTAGGGAAAGTTTTATTTATTTTACTGTGCTAATACAGAATATATGATATAAGATAAATAGATAATTAAAATGGCAGAATAATTTGAGAAAAATTAGTAAGAAATGTACAGGCCACAAAAAAAAGAAACAAACTCCGTTGTTTTAGTCCTCAAGCGAACTATACCCACCGAGCGCCCGCCTCTTGTCGGCGAAGTTAGTGCCAACTTTAGCGGATAGAGGGTGTCGCATGGTCAACGCAACGAATCCCCACTGCTGTTAATTTCGGTTTTATATTTCCTCGAAATAGCTCTTCAGTTATCCTCACGTGGCTGAGTGGACCACGTTCCAGACCCACTACTTCTCAGAAAATCTGGTAACGCCGGGAATCGAACCCGGACCTCTGGATCTGTAGCCAGGAAATCTTACCACTAGACCATAGAAGCGGTCCACAGAGGTCTAATTTAATTAACAGTTGTAATGATTTCTCTTACTTACGTTCAGACATGTAAAGAAGTTCAATGGGAATATACTGGGACTTCTCTTCACAATTCTCTTTTTCGGGAAAGAAATTTAAAGAAATCCTTAATTTCCGGTAGTCAACATTTTTTATCGTTGTTAAAATGGCATCGAAAGGATCCTTATTATTGTGATGATTCTGCCACATAACCTCGGCTCAGTAAGACTAGTCTGTACTCCATTTTCCAATGCCCATACCTCATCCATGTTTGCGGTGTGCATACCGGTTGCCAGGTCGAGGAAGTTGTGCTTCTGGTTGACTTTCAGATGTTTAAAACTCGCGTTCTACAGATTTTTCGTCTTTCATCCGCGCCACTTTTCTAAATGCACGGCGAGTCTTCTTCGTCATTCCCTAAACTGTCTGTGCTAGAAGTACCGGCACTTCGATTAGGAACACCAAGAAAAACTCTTCTCTCGAGTTACAATCCACCAACAATCCACTGTGACTGTGGCACGCGGCCGGCATTGTGCATTATGAAAAGTTTTCCACTAATCTCCACGATTTTAAATTTGTCGCGTAATAGGTTTATGTCAAAGCATCAATTTAATAGAATATATCTTAATATTGTACGGCCTCTGTGGTCTAGTGGTGAGAGTTCCTGCCTACAAATACAGAGATCCCGGGTGCGATTCCCAGCGCTAGCAGATTTTCTGAGACATAGTGGGTCTGTGTACTGGGTCCACTCAGCCTCGTGATGATAATAGAGGAGCTATTTCAAGAAAATAGAGGCTCAGCTCTAGAAACCGAGATTAACGGCCGTGGGGATCCGTTGCGCTGACCACGTGACAACATCTATCCGCAAAAGTTTGAACTAACTTCGCCTACAAGCGGCGGTCTCCCGGTCGGTATATTTCGCTTGCAGACTACAGGTCAAGGAGTTTGTTTTTGTCTTAATATTATTTCGTCGAATAGGTAATTAAATCATCAAATTGTGCTAAAGAAAAATATATTGTAATTCCATAAGTTAACTAAAATGGTGATAGGATTCTTGGTTATATCTATTAGTCGGACGAAAATTATGGTAACTTAATAATGGCGGCATTTAGAAGAATCGAACAAATGTTATATAACTTAGTCAAAACACATCTACTCTGAGATACTTTCACTAGAGAAAGATGCATAATTTCAAAGTGATTGCCCATGGGTACAAGAGTTAAGTATATGATTACGTCAAGCACTTAGTAAATTCAGTGTTAATTCATGAGTTACCGTGTTTAGGTATTGATCTGGATTGCCGTTATTGTTCTCCAAGCTTGGAATGAGGTTTAAGAGATTTACACTTTCCAGTGCATTTTCAATAACATTGAACACCTCGGCTATGGTAGAGTTTCCCGAAAGCAGTGAAGAGACAGACACAGAGCCACAGAGCTGGCACATTCCAACAAGCAGTACGAGGTAGACTTGTGGAACGCACACCCACATTGCTTTCTGTGAAAGTGAGAAACAAACCCGGTTACCATTAGTACACTCGTTCTCTCATGTCATTCGTTCATAAATGGCTCTAGCTTCTTCTTCTGTTGCGTAATCTTTTTTACACAGACGGTAGGACTCCTTGGACGGGGGGGGGGTCAGCCCGTCGCAAGGCCGCTACCTATACAGAGGACAACACAAACACAGAAAAAACTCCCACACAAACATCCATACCTTGACTGAGATTCGAACTCACGATCCCAGCTGTTCAGCGAGCGAAGACAGTTTATGCCTTAGATCGCGCTGCCACTGTGATCGTATATATTAACAATAAAGCTTTCATTATCATCATCATCATCATCATCATCATCATCATCAATATGTACAGGTATATTCAACGTCTGGTGGACTTATATCAAGTAAATAAACAACCTCCTACAATAAAGAAACCCTCATAGCAAACACGCGGTAGCGTAGCTGGTTGAGGCACTATGATACAAGCCGGTAGGTCGCGGGTTCGAGTCCCGACAAGGTGGATTTTTTTTCAATTGACCTAATCCTTCCAGCCGCACTATTGTTCTGTGGTCGACTCAGCCTCTAACATAAATGAGTACCAGGAATCTTCCTAGGGGCTAAAGTGCGGCCGACGCAGAAGGTTGACAAACTTACCGCCACCTGTGAGCCGACTGTCTAGAGAAGGTGGGAGTCTCGACCTCTCACATCCCTATGGGCCTTCACGGCCTCTTACAGGGGTAGCTTTACCTTTAGTTACTGTTACATAGCAAAATGTTATATTTGATGGATTTATGCCCCTAAAGATTCAGCCGAGTTGTGAAGTCTGAACCTTTTCCAATTTAAAACGTTGATTTGATAGCCTAACGTTTGCCAACTCACCAATGGATTAACCAATTAAATAGTTATTATATAATGCTAATAGTCGAGGACATGCCTTTTAGCAGCTGAAGTTCGTCACACTTTACCCGTCACTGCCCTCTTCCCCCTCCATTGCATTTACTGAGAGGGGAGTGAATTAAGCAGATAGAAAGAGGCAGCGGTACAGATTATTACCGAGAGGTGGTGGGATTTTCTTTAGAGGCTTAAAGAAACGTCCGTGACCTATCTTAATCCTGAGGTTAAACTGATATCACGGCATTCTTTCGACACAATCGTAACCCAGTTGCAGTCATAACCCACCTTCACAAAACACATTACCCTGTCTCTTCCTTTCCTGTCTTCGAAAGGTCCGCTTCCCAAAACACTCTCCTGTACCGAAATTATGTACACAATTTCGAAGCCACTTTCCCCGGAACCGAAATCCCTGATCAATATCACTTTTCAGCACTCAGTAAGATCGGTGTAATTAGTGCTACACGCACCTACTGTTCTGAAAAGTCGATCTGTTAATGTCTGAACTGAAGAAGAACTTGCACTTCCTAAATTTGAACTTCTTACAGTTTGTAAGATTTGAGGCTTTCACGGCGGTGACTATGAAGAAAGCAGTCTTCTGGGATTTGGCACCGTGTATATGTGGTGTTAACCGACGTTTCGGAGGAACGTATAGACTCCATCTTCAGGGTAGAAGAAAAAATATAAGAAATCTGCAAGCGAAGAGACCGTGAGAACCGGTAAAACAGACACCAGTCTGTTGGAGGCGATACGTTCCTCCGAAACGTCGGTTAACACCACATATACACGGTGCAAAATCCCAGAAGACTGCTTTCTTCTTACAGTTTAATAAAATATCGGCGTTCTTTTGCTGTTTCCCCCACTTTATTAAATTTCTAAATATTCCCTGTGTCTCTGTTATCGTTATTTACCGGTGGAAGTTCCTGCTGAAATTAGATAAATAATTTGTTTCATATTTTTATTTTATCGCTTTCGTATCTTTGTCTCGATTTATAGGTTATCCTTTAAAACAGAAATTATTTTACGTCATTATTATTTAAGATGGTACACTTTCGGACACAGCACTGCCACCTGGAGGAGAATCTGGAAACTGATACGGTATGAGAACATAAAATAGGCACACAACACACATACATAGACATAAGCCGTCATATATGTATAAATATATGCATATATATTTGTGTGTGTTTGATAAGACTTCTCCTATAATTGAATCACAGAATATTTTAAAACCTCAATCTCTGATAAAAACCTACGAAACTGTAGAACGTTTTAAAATCTGTATCATCTAAGGTATACTTCCAGGATGTCCTCATTTGTCTTCACAAATGTGGATTGCAAACTACTTTGTAAATGGCTAACCTCTTTGACAGAATCAGCATTGATGATGCCTGATTGTGTTGATCATTTTAGAGGAACACTGGATAACTTATTTCATGTACAGGGGTAAGAAATTCCTCGGATACAATTGCGTCAGTTTTATTAATAATTTTTATTAAAATCTAAACCTAAATAGATTTTCCATTGCAGTCGTGTTTATTTCTGACTAAAACTGGCATCATACGGTTATGAATTTCTAGATAATTTCTACCACTTGTTATTATCAATTCAGTTTGAATTAAATACCCCTAGAATTATAACTTTCCAGTGTATGCCTATTCCATTGCATTAGACTTGGTTCTGAAGTTAATGACTTTATAGGATATGTAGAACGTTGTTTAAATTTGTAATTTGCTTCAATATTTGGCACTTCACTGTTCCAGTGTGTTCCTACTGTGCTAGAGGATTATGGAAATCATTATATATTGTCAGAGGCTCTGGAATTTGCTTTCAAAATGGAGCACACGTCGTGCCCCGTTTATGCGTAACAATAAAAAGTTGAAATACTTATTGTAATGAAGTGATGGATTTATTTGTTAGCTGAGAGCCGAACACGGTGGCTCAGGCTACAAAGGTTTTGATTTGTATTCGGAAGATATCCGCTTAGAATCGAGTCCAGGGCACGGAACGTCGTTAGGTTTTTCAGAATTTAAAAAAATTCTTCAGGGACATCCCTTGAGAGGGTGCTTAACTTAGGCCGTAAGTCCATTCTTTCACATAAAGAGGTAAAAAAAGCAAAGGTCTCTCTGTAATAGGCCGTAGAGATCCATAGATTTGTGACACGTCGAGGCTTCCACATTTCCTAGACAATCGGCTCGCAGATGGCGGTGAGGTTGTCAGTCTTACGCGCCGGCCGGCCGTCATTTATCCCTAGGAAGATTCTTGGTACTCATTTCTGCTAGAGGTTGAGTCGACTCCAGGGACATAGTGTGGCCCGGAAGGATTAGATGAATTGAAATATCCAATGACCTCAACGGATTTCGAACTTGCGGCCTTCCGGCTTATAGCATACAGACTCAATCAACTGTCCAATTAATTATTCATCAGTATCCGATTGATGGTGCTATGTAGTTCGAGTTAAGGCAACGTCGTTAAATAAGCTACAAATGAATAGGGCAAATCCAGAAAATTCACCCTACTTATGTGATTTGTATCTTTTCAGTTAGCCAGTCACTTGGTCATTCTTGTTTCACGAAAGATTTTCAGTTTTGGAATGTCCTGCATACACATACTCACCGTTTCCGTTCTCCCCGACAAGTTATCGAATATTCAGTTCGGTAATTCCTTCCTGTGTCACCCGTTGGAATTCCATACAGCACGGGTTGAATTGCCAGCTTATATACACCATCTGTTCAACCGCTCCCCCTCTCATCATTAACACGAGCGAAGCCTTTATGCAAACAATAGCATATCATCATCATCAGTAATCTGTCAAGACGACAGGTCCACAGTCTCTTCCAAAACAATTCCTCCACTTAATGCGATCTAGAGCTTTCTCCTTCAAATGAGAGTATCCTCTTCTGTCCCCGAGGTCATCCAGCATCTTCTTACGTCTTCTTCCTCGTCTTCTTGTCACTTCTATCCGCCCATCTATCTTTCCTTCGATAACTTCTTTTAGAAGGCAGTTTCTGCGTAAAACATGACCAATCCAATTAGCCTTCCGTTTTCTTATTTCGTGTAGGATATTCCTCTGCTCACTGACTCTAATTAACACTTCTTCATTTCTCACATAATCGGTCCAACTGATCTTCTCCATCCTTATCCAACACCACATTTCAAAACTTTCCAGATGTTTCTGATCTACTGCCCTAAGTGTCCATGTTTCAGCCCCATACAGAGCTATGCTCCAAATGTAGCATTTCACTAGCATATGCACATTGCAAAAATAATAAATTATACCAAGCCCTTTCTGTTATAAATAATTACATTCTGTGAAGAAAGCAGTCTTCTGGTATGCGGCACCGTGTAGATATGGTGTTAACCGACGTTTCGGAGGAACGTATCGCCTCCATCTTCAGGGTAGAAGGAAAAATAAGAAATCCGCAGGCGAAGAGACCGTGAGAACCGGTACAAGCAGATATTCTCCTGTATGAAAACAGAAATTCTGCTGCTACACAGTGTTCATGGTGATAAACTTCTCTGTACAGCTACTCCATTTGAACTTTTCCACACATAGTCAGCAGTGCGACACACCCTTTTAAACCAACATCCCGACAAATGTGGTCTCTCCAAGTCAATATCTCGACAAACAGAACAATGTTATCTTACTTAAAACCTACGAAAGGAAAAAGAATTCCAGCAACCGAAAGAGGTCGCTTTCGCTCACAGCAAATCATGAAGTGGTGGTGACATATTTTGAAGCAAGCGCTGTCAGAAGCCCTGTTCTTATTGAAATAATGGAATATTAAAATATCGGAAAGAACTTCCAACACAATATCTGCTCAAGGCTGGGATAACACTTCGTGAGGCCTCTATATAAATATCTCGAAAGAATAAGAATGAAATATGTGTCCTTGTACGTCGAACTGCACAACACGTTGCTTGGCATCACTCACACAGCTGCGCGATACGGAGCGGTGACGCACCCCATTCGAGTTCAGCTGTCTCGGCTTTTCCCGTGTGTGTGTGTGTGTGTGTGTGTGTGTGCTTTATCATCGTTCCAGTATGAGGCATTATTTACTTTCCGAGTTCTGCAAGAGAATGTTGTGTTATAATGTCTGTGATTTTCCTTCGGATATTTGGACGCTCCTAGGATTTTCAGGTTCTGAGCAAAGTTTGTGTAGGTTACATGTGAATATGGCACTGATCTTCTCCAACACATATGGCAATAATTTTTGGTTTTAAATGTAAATGTGGCCAAGAAGAAAGTGGATTGGCACTTGAGGGCGAAATTGGCTAGCAAGCACAACCTTTGAAGATGATGAAATGTGAAAGTTTTTAATTGGAATAGCTAACATTTATATTACTTTAAAATACTTGGGAATATTATTCTGAATTCAGTATTTTTAGTTTTTCCTTTGCTGACTTCACTCGAGATGACTGTGGGTTGCTCATCACTAGCCAGAGTTCTTGGAACATAAGCTACGTGGACTGGATCTCTTTCCTTCACTCATTTCGTCTCCAGTAATGTGCATAGGCCGGCACATAACCTCACTTGATGGCAGCTGTTCAACTGGAGAGATACTGAACAATTTTAGTACTAGTATATGTGGGTCCTTGGTCTGTGTAAGGCGCGTCCACATTACTCGTGCTCTTGCTTGTGCTCTTCGGGAGACTCGTCCGGCTTTTACTTGTGATCGTAAATCTTCGTCCACACTACTTCAGTTGCTCGCCAGGCTTCGGCGCGTGAGGATCCGTATATTTACTCGTAGTGTGTATAGGCTGTAGTCGTATTTTAATTTATTTGCTATAGTTTTTAAATTAAAAATTAAAAATTTGCTTGTCTCGTGACTTGTCATATCGTCCACATTACTCGCGAGCATAGCGAGTCACACGAGCACGAGCACGAGTAATATGGACGCACCTTAACCCGGCATCAGTCGGCGCGATTTGATGTGAAGAGCGTTGTCTCTCCTGCCTGAGCTGCCGAACAGCTTTCGGGTTGTTATAGTTAGGATATATACATACATATTATATCCAGAATTAGGGCCGGTATTTCAGTATCGAGCGTACCTCTTCCGGAACTGACTGACTAAAGTTAGCGATAGTTACGATGGATAGGACCAAATTAATAGTCTGCTTGCTTGCGGCGTTACGACGTTTCCTCTTCTTCTGAACGCTCTCTCTCTCTCTATATATATATATATATATTTACACGACACTCGAAAGACGAAATAATAGAGCCAGACGGCACGTTCTATCGCCTGATAGGAGAATCTGCTAAAACACAAAGGGAGGTTAACAAAACTGTGGCAAATAACCCGGGATTCAGCATGTAAAGCGGCAGTTAACTGGGTCGCCAGTACCAGCAGACGAATGAGCCCTAGAAAGGCACTCGAACGATGGGAAACAAAAGTAGGGAACTTGAAATTGGAAAAGGCGTGTGGAATTGATGGTATTCCACACGAATGCCTCAGACATTTTCCAAGAAAACCATTAACACACATGACATTTATCTAATCACTGACTTCGTCTGTCCAAATTTTCCAAAACCTTAGAAGGACGCTGAAGAAAGACTGGCCGACTGACCGTTGGTCTTAACATAACTTACTTAGTGGGTGCATATCTATAAGAGACAGATTCATCCTCTCGTCAGAGAGGATGTTACACAAGGACTATGACCGTAAGGGTTCAGTTCCATAAAAAACTCTGATTATGAACGTAAAAGTGTTTGGCCCGAGACGAAATGTTTGGCGGCAAATCGCCAATCGCGAAATGACTGTGACTCTGAATTAGTCAGCCATGCAGTTGCGGCAATGACTTTGCTGTTAGAAGGTAGAAAAACGGTAACGACATCAGCATAAGTGGATATTTTTTTTAGATCCTTACCAGGCAACGACTAGTGAACACATACGAGACATGGCGAGTCTGTAGTGAGAAGTAGAGCGAGAGCGCTATAATTACTTCTTATGATTTATAAGTGTTCAATAAATCCAATTACCAATTTAAACCTCGTGTCTAGTCAGTGATGCGTGACGATATTGTATAGTTCTCTCTTTATGCACCATCTCTTTATGCATGCACCATCAAATATCACAAATATCTAATTATTACTTTAAAATCAATATGAGGTTCTTTTTTCATCAAGCAATATACTCAGAAATAAAGTAGCCCCCCTAAAACGCATACATTTCGTCAAAAAAATATAGCAATATAATTGCACTTATTGTTGTTGAGCGCGGATGGTTTGACTAAATACTTCAGACGAGCAGAGTCATGGAAAGGATGACTCTCCAATTGCTTCCCACACGAATCATAAATATCCCTTGCTGTGGCGTTTGTGTTGATACAATTGCTGGAACAAGCCTGTGGTTCAGTTACATAGCAAAGACATGGCCGTCTGTTCTACTGACCTTGGACTTGGAACTGTAATGTATAGTCATGCTAATGAAACAAATAATACTTAATATATGGCCTTATTTTTCTCTATTTGTTACGAAATATTTCTTCTTCTCCACATATTGTTTCCCTATTTGATTAATCATTCGATCTGCCCTGTTCTGTTCAAATAAGTTTCGACGATGGTACAGCGAAGAGACTGGGTTATGAAGAAATTTAATGAAAGAATAAATGCTTTGGACACAGATTGTTCTCTGATTGGAAATCATTTGACGTAAAACTCCTTCCATCGTAGGACAAGGCACGAAAAAGGCGAACATTCATAAAGCTCAAACTGGATTCGAACCAATGACTCATTTTTTCACACTGGGAAAGAATGTGATCGCCTTCTACAACCACCTAAAGGACGAAGAAATGTTTACTAGGGAAACAGTTACACAGGTAATAACTTAACTTATAAATTAATTGTAAGACTTTTGAATTAACATATGTCCTAACATATGCGCGGGTGAATATAACCATAAAACGCGTCATAATATTTGCCTGGTATTTATCGAATTTATTTGAGTCTCATTTTATAGACGGAATTTAAGTAAATTCAAATCGATAAGGAAAACATGTGAGAAAGTTTCATTATATCTTATTCTATCGTTTCGAACCATGAGGCCTCCGTTTCTTTGCTCAAGTAAACATTTCCCACGACAGCGTTCTACAATTTAAAGGATGTTATGTGGCCATATAACTAAAACATAACTTATTATATGTAAAGAGAATCTTGTAAAGGAAATTGCTATTAATTTACAATTTAACGTAAGGGAAATGGGAGTGCCTTAATTTGTAGCCCATTTGAAGGTTCTCGTCCTTCAAATTGTTGTGGCTTTTGCTTTACAATAAATGAAAGCAAGGTGTTGAAGCTCTTTGGCACAGGTCCACAACAAAAATTAAAATAAATTTTCAAAAATTTCGAAGAAAATTTATCTCATTGCTAGTAAAATTGTCTTCACAGAAATCCTACTTACAAGTTTACTTATAAATACGAGTATAGCAGGTGGTCGCAATTGAGAATTGCTGGCCTGCCTGCTCTATCCTGTTGCTGCCATGTTTGTAATTGATGGTGCTGTTAGAATAGTAAGTAACATTTGAGGTTCCCACAGAGGTGGCCATGAAAGAGTCCATCTTTTTGGATATAACGCTGTGTAGGCTGGCTTTCAGCCCACTACACGGCGATATATACCAGAAGATAGAACTCTTGTCAGCATATTGTTACACTCTTGCTGCCTCTTGGCCACACGTTCTTGTGCTTAACAAGTATAGAGGCGACGTATTTTGTTGGAGTTGAACGTGGCATGTAGCACGAATTTAAGCCATGAGAAATGCATATGACATCTTCGTTGGAAAATCAGCAGTAAGAGGCCACTTCAAAGATCTAAGCATGGATGAGAAGATAATATTAAAATATATCTTAGGAAAAATATGGTTTGAAGATGATGACTAGACTCCTCCGCCCCCCAATAACATCCAGAGCAGGCGTTTCTGTGAAAAGGACGATGATACTTCGGGTTCTGAAAAATATGATGGAATTTCTTGACCTGTTAGCTTTGCAGGAAAGTGTAAGCTCCATGAAACAACTTACATATCATGTATATTTTTATGAAACCTAATTTGAAGATTGACAGAGCTCTGACGATTATGTGAAGGGGAAGGGACGGGAAGGAGGGCGGAAAAGTAAAGTATGGCAATGACTGATGGGAAATATCTTCAAAATTCGGAAATTAGGAGCAGCTTTATTCTAGAACTTCATACCCCTTCACGAGGCTTGTAACATTATTATTTTCTAAGGGCCTGACATATTCTACCCGCATAAAGGCGATGTGGTTGGATTAATCTCACGGGACACGATGTAGGATAACGTCATTCGGCTAGGCTCTTTTCAACTTTAGAACCTTCTGCAAGGAAAATAGGAGATAAAATTATTTCCATATCTTATTAAATACCACATTTTTTATAACATAAAATACAGAAGCTTAGGGCTCTCCAATACTTGAATAACCCATATATTGCATTCATCCCTGAACATTCATCTTGGGTCAGTATCCTCTTCTTATAAGCAAGAATAAACTCCCATATGTACCTTACGAATTTAATAGCACCCCTGGAACATACCTCACTCTTTCCTTTATGAAACAAATTAAAATGTCTCTTAGTCTTTAATTTACAGCGCCGTGTATTGTCGCGGAGCAACATCCTTCAGTGTAAGGAAAGTTGTCCGTACTGAATGTTTCTAGGAACGTGGTGCTGAAAATAATATTTGAAACGAAGATGGAGGGCGCAGCAGGAGGAAGGGAAGAACTGAATAATGATGAGGTTCGTAATTTGTACAGTAAAGCAAAGCAAAGTAAAGGTATCCCTGTAACACACCGTGGAGGCCCATAGGGTTGTGAGATGTTGAGGCTCCCACATTTTCTAGACAATCGGCTCATAGATGGCAGTGAGGTTATCAGTCTTACGCGCCGGCCGCCCTTTACCCCCAGGAATATTCCTGGTACTCATTTCTGTTAGAGGCTGAGTCGACTCCAGGGCTATAGCGCGGCTGGCAAGATTAGATAAATTGAAAAATTCACCTGATCGGGATTTGATCCCGCGACCTTCCGGCTTGTAGCGTAATGTCTCAACCAACTACGCTACCGCGTGCCCCTAATTTTGTACAGTTCACAAAGTATTTGTGTGATTATTAAATAAAGGCGGATGCGAATGGCGGTGGATGTAAGAGGCCAGAGGGAGTGCAGTTTTAAGTAAGGAAGTCTAAAGGAAGACACCACTTAGGTAGATATAGGGATAGATGGAATATAATACTACTATGAATATTAAAAAAGCATGGTTTGAAGGTGAGGACTGGAGTGAGCTGATTCAGGACAGGATATTTATATAATGATGCCGATGTTGGGCCTTTATTTTTCAATGACTCTTCCAGCCCATTCAAGGCCAGGCCTCTTATTCAGTTCCGTAATCATTTTACACAGACGGTAGGACTCCTTGGACGAGTGATCAGCTCGTCACAAGGCCTCTACCTAAACACAGGACAACACAAACACAGAATAAAAGCGCACACACACCAAACATTCATGCCTTAAATGGGATTCGAACTCACGATCCCAGCGTTTGAGCAGGAGAAGACAGTTCACGTCTCAGATCGTGCGACTACTCTGACGAGCGGCGCTGGGCCTTCAGGTTCCAGAAAATATGAGTGATTTACTGAACAGCTGAGTAAATATCAGCTTGTTAAGGAGGATTCTGTTTCATTATTCATAAGTCTATAAATTTTCTGTTAAGAATCCCCATATTTGCCTTGTTAAATTTCTTTTTTTACTGATTCTCTATAATTCATCAGACTCGTAGAGTAGGTTTATCTTTGGGAAAATTATAATGAATCACCTGGTAAAAAAATCCCTGCCTTCAACGGGGTTCGAAATTTCGCTACAGTGTTTGCAAGAAATATTTTCCTTAATCCTATTTGTGGACAGATAATTCCAGTCTGCATTCAAACAACTTATTTGTGTGAGATCACTCTTAATATAATTCTCACATCTATGTTTAAGTCTCGCAAGTGGTCCTTTTCCTTCAGGTTTCTAACTAAATTGTGTACCAGCGTCTCGTCCATTTCATTCTACTTTATATACTACACTTCGCGTTAAATTGTATATTAACAACAGCCTTCTCTACAGAGTCTGTTTTACACGTGAAAAGTTGTATGTTGCAAGTTATAAAAGTAAAAATACAAAAAAAAAAAGTAAAGCTATCCCTGTACCAGGCCATGAAGGCCCATAGGGTTGTGAGACGTTGAGGGTCCCACATTATCTAGACAGTGGGTTCAAAGATGGCGGTAAGGTTGTCAGCCTTACGCTCAGGCCGCTCTTTAGTCCCCAGGAAAATTATTTACTTCCTGGTACTCATTTCTGTTAGAGGCTGAGTAAACCCCAGGGCCTAGTGCGGCTAGAAGGATTAGGTCAACTGAAAAAAATCCAATGACCTCATCGGGATTTGAACCTGCGACCTTCCACGGCCACAAAATATAACAAAGAATTTCTAAATGCTGTCATAGGACATGTCTGCTTGAGAACATCAGACGTAGAGATATCGTAATAGTGTATTGCTTACACCACCCGAAGACCATCAACCTCATTGTAAACATCGCAAAAAGACTATTTAGGAGACATTTTTAATAAATTGTCTCGTAATTTTAAGAGTTTGAGCATACTGCTTTTATATCCGTTATCACCACGACATAGAGCATCCATCTTTTGTTGTTGCAGGACACAGCCTCCATATGTGAAGGTTAGGTGCAGATATAGTGAATAAACTGTCAGGGACAGCCTTCAGGAGATGGATCTCCAGCTTTGAGGTTAAGCGGCGGTTAACAGCTACTCACCATACAAAGGACTAACATGATAGGATGAGAGGACATGCTACACAGAGTGTCGTATTTACGGAAGTTCGAGAATGTCTTAAGCAACGGACCTGTTCTCTCAGCCGAAGGGAAGAATATAGACCGTTCGAGAACAAAGTGCTGAGGAGAAAGTGTCTACCAAGAGAGACCAAGCGACAGTAGGGCAGAGAAAACAATATAGCGAGGAGCTTGGTAATAACTACACTTATTCTTCGTAAGTTGTTGCTGGGATGTTCAAATGAAGGAGAATAAAATGGGGGGAACATGCCGCATGGGTAGGAGGGCTAATAAATGCACTATTCCTATTGCGGTATATTATATTTATATTACTATAATTTATAAATCATATTCATGAGGGTCTTCGGCTTCCGTTACTGGCAGTTTGGGTAGCACATTTATTTATAGAAATGCATTAAAGTATAAGTATATTTCACAAAAGTTTTAATAAACTTTATCTATATATACTTTATGTAAATGAGGAGCCGGGATAGCTCAGTCGGTATAGCGACTGGACGAGCGAGGGCTCAGAGTTCGATTCCCGAAGTGTCAAGAATTTTCTCTTCTCCAAGTCGTCCTGACCGGCTGCGGGGCCCACCCAACGTCCTATCTAATGGGCACCGGGGACCCTTTCCCGGGCTAAAGAGGCCGGGGCGTGAAGCTGACCACTCACCTCCACATAGTACTGAGGTCAAGAAAATATGGATCTATACGTCCACTTCCACGTACGCCTTCATGGCGTAGTGGTTAATTAGTTAAGCAAAGGGACAACTTTACTTCATATATAAATGAACTATGTATATATTGGAAATTTCCAGCATACGCTCTGCAATTTTCTGTTTTGGAAGATCTTGGGATGGAGCATTAATTCTTTGAGGACAGGATGATTGTCTGGTAAGTCCACCAATAAGCGGGGGAAATAAGCATTCTGAAATCAGACAGATTACATTTCGAAAGACACCTTACAATTTGATTTGGAAATTCGTATTGGGAAAAAATATTTTTGTAGCAATAATGCTGCAAGTGTTAATAATTAATTATTTTTTGCGCCAAATTTATCTGCGGCAAACTTCTTTGAAGACTTCTCAGTGCGAGCAATATATTGCGTTCTAACTCCTACCTTCCCTTACCCTTTTGCGCGTAACTGTGACAAAATTAGCAAGAAGGAGTAACCTATTATTGAAGAATAAAATTTAAAAACGTGCACTTCATATTGCAGTAAACAAACAGCGTTCTTGTGAGTTTAGCATTCAGCTTAGAAACTGGAATACAAAGTAAAAGACTAGTGAAATATCCCCGCATCAGATTTGAATAAACTCTGTGCAAGAGCTTACGTGGTATATGAAGAAGTCCGTCCCTGTGCAAACCAGGTTTTCTTGTCAATCAGTATAGCCGAAAATCAGAACTGACAGATAACATTTTATTAAAGACACACATATCGAAATTATCAAACCTGTAAAACGGTCAGTAGGCTGTATCGAAAGTCCATTTTTGACATTATGTAAACTAGGTTTTCCGGTCTAGAAAACCAAAATTAACTGCCGTGGGGATTCGTTGCGCTGACCACGCGACACCCTCTATCCGCAAAATTTGGCACTAAATTTCGCCGACAAGCGGCGGTCGCTCGGTCGGTATAGTTCGCTTGCGGACTAAAATCACTGAGTTTTTTTTTGTAAACTAGGTTTTTTTAACCAATATGATCGCCTGATTGAATTTCATGGTAACAATAAATGGAATTCTTTATATGGAGATTCGGCACCATCTATAAAACAAAAAATATGATAAGTTTATTAATGGCATTATGTGAACGGCTAAATTTTAAATAAATGTGGCTGAAAACCAGAATTGCATTACAACATTTGGTGGAAGCCTCCCATATTGAATGCCAACAAATATGTGGAAATATTTATAAATACAATCAAGGTACATCTCTAGCCTTATGTAAAATAGACTTTGTTATGTATCAACGAGTCTGAAATTCGGATTTCAACATCTGCGGAAAGGTTTACTGGACACAACGAAAGTTCGTTTACGGTCATATATTAGGTAGGCTATATTATGGATCCATATAGCTGAAAGTCGGAAATACCCAACAAATTTACTAAAAGTCTCCTTTGAAACCATTACTTAGAATTTAAGAATAGATCACTGCCAGACGGACAGCCATAATGTCTGCATAATGCTTGTATTAACATCAAATGCAGTAACGGCTTAATTTCTTCTCTTTTATTTCGCAAAGGACGCCTAATAAAGCAAAATTTCCTTAAATATTCCAGTATGTATCAAAAATAAATAATTGTATAATATTATTATTCCAACTGCAAGCATGCCATCCATCTTAATGAGGCTTAATTTCCATACTGTGTCTGAAATGAAGGCTTAGTTTATTAACACAATATTTTAAAGAAGTGTAAACTTCATTTAGGGAGGAACATAGACTGAGAGTGTTTGAGTACAGGGTGTTGAGGAGAATATTTGGACCGGAGAGAGCTGAAGTGACAGGAGGTTGCAGAAAACTACATAATGAGGAGCTTCATAACTTGTACTCTTCTCCAAATATAATTAGAATGATCAAGTCAAGGAGGATGAGATGGACAGGGCATGTAGCACGAATAAGGGAGACAAGGAATGCGTATAGGATTGGTGGAAAGGCAGAAGGAAAGAGCCCACTTGGAAGAACAAGGCGTAGGTGGGTGAACAATATTAAAATGGATCTTAGAGAGATAGGATGGGATAGTATTGATTCGACTGATCTGGCTCAGGATAGGGACCAGTGGAGGCCTCTTGTGAACACGGAAATGAACCTTCGAGTTGCATAAGATGCTGGGATATTCTTGAGTAGTTGTAGAATTGGCAGGTCTTCCAGAAGGGCTCAGCTCCATCAGTAAGTGAACTTCATTTGGCTTTGGTATGCTTGACTTTTTGATGTNGAAACGTCGGTTAACACCACATATACACGGTGCCAAATCCCAGAAGACTGCTTTCTTCATAGTCACCGCCGTGAAAGCCTCAAATCTTACATAAATAAATGAATCCACTTCCTTCTCTCTTTCAAGGTTATTCTTTGCGCAATCTCCTTTTCAGAATACATTTTAATAGATGAACCTGGTCGAATGAAAGACTGTTAAATATTTTTGAAAGGAGAATTTTGAGATATATTTTCGAAGTAGAGGAAGAAAATGGGACATGGAGGAAAATGTATAACCTTGAGCTAATGAAACTATTTAATGACCAGAATATTATTAGATTCATAAAGTTTGAAAGACTTGAATGGGTTGGATACCTAATACGTGCTACTCAGAACATAATGATAAAAGAAGGTATTTAATACCAAACCAGAAGAACCTAGGAAACTGGGAAGACCAAGACTGAGGTGGAAAAATGTGTGTGACAGGACATCAGAATTTCGGGCGTAAGAAACTGGAAGAGTGTGGTATCGAATAAAGAAGAATGACGAACAATTCTGAGGAAGGGCATGGCCCACACAAGGTTGTCGTGCCAAAGTTGTTGTTATTGTTGTTGTATTGTTGATGATGATGATGAGGCAAACCTTGGCCTCATCAATTGGGCTGTCTTTGTAAGAGTCCTCATTAAGAACAACTTTTCTTCTTTTATTTCCATAAAGTTTATCGATATCAGAACTACTGTTGTCAGTGTTTAAACTTATTGTCAAAATCATGAGTAATTATTTAACAATATACGAATATAATATGATCATTTCTATTGAAACATGAACAGTACATTTCATGGTAGTTTATTAAGGAAGCAGGTAACAACTTACACACCATCTGTAGAAGTACTGAGCAATTCTGTCTTGGAGTTGGAAAGGAAAAGAAAACATATCTCCGCGACATATTACCTTTTCAAATCAAATGTAGTACTCCAGACTTTGTTGCTTACTTTAAACGATTAGTCTATGTTGCTCTATCGCACAACACAATCAGCTAACATGCAAATAATAAGAACTCATCAATCACTCAAAATGGCTGAAAATCCAACATTCCAACTAACGGATTAAAATGTGGATAATGGCACAATAAAATTGAAACAATGAGTACAATATACCATTGTTGAGTGCTCGCATGGTCTCGCGTAGCTCGTCTTTCGTCATAGGACTGAAATATTGAATTCATATCGAACCTGCTGTGAGACTCTTTTATTTTCTATAATTATACTTATTGGTTTATTTGATTAGAGATTATTTTCTTCTAATAAATACCTTTTCTTTCCCTAAATAGCGCTCTTAACCTATTTTGTGGCAATTGTCTTGTCATTGTATCTTTACTACGTGTAATTTTTCCTTTGCTGTATTCATGTCTGAAGTAAGGGGGGGGGGCTCATCTCCCTCATTCTGTGTGTGTCCCATATTCTACTTAAACCCTGGTTTTATGCTCTGGTGGGGGAGGTATATGTTTATTTTTTTACTTATATTTTTGGTCCGTTCTATTACTTTTGTATTTTCTGTTTGTTCGTTTCTGTAGGATTCCCAAAATAATTTGCTTTACATTTGATAAATGTCCGTACAAAAATGAAAATATAAAATATTTCTTATCGCACAACATTTTAGTGTTGATTGTTCTCATAAAGGTCAGGTTTATGTATATATGTATAGATGCATGTTTCTATGTATATATGTTAAATGTATAAGTGCATGAAAGCGTGTACACTGCTAGTATATTTGCTTTTGTTCCAGTGTTTAGCCTTCTCCTAATTAACTTAATGCATTACAGTGTTATCAAATGCATGGAAATTAAATTGTGCGAAATTGTGTTTGATGGCACAAACCTAAATTTGGGAGTAATAACACTCATTGTCTCTCTCTCTCTCTCTTTCTCTCAATTAAGCTACTATGCCTCTATCTGACGAACAGCATACTATTATTAAATCGGAAACAAGAAAAATCAAGAAGTCGAAAAGGTTCTGATGGCTCAAGAAAACGGTTTAAAAATTTTTCTGCTACTATATTCCTGTAAAGAAGGCGATCTATTATAATCAGTATAAGCATTAGCGTTGCCAGCATTTACAAGGTAATTAAGTATCTCCTCACCATAATTTTTTTTTTCCAGTTTTGATAATTTCATAAAAATGACCTTTCGATCGAATTGAACAGATCTTAAAAATGATAACTGGATCAGAGTTTTCACGTTCTATGGAAAAACAATATAATCGATATTAGTAATATTATGGAGCAGAATGCTCAGTATCCACTCGAAAGCAACAGGCGCATCAATGCATATTGTTTGTTATTGTCATGCTTAGGCCTACTACACGTAACCAAAGCGAAGTAGGCAAGTGTGTCCAGCATATGCATTGTAATTCTACCTATTCGTGTCTGATTGCATACTACCAGGAGACTATGAACTGATATGCAGGAGCAAAACCTTTACTGAACAGTGAAGGAAAATGAACAGCTTCACCTTAGCTGTTGATTAGGACGGACTTCCTTCTCTTGTTTAATAAATAAGATTTAAATTTATCACTTATATTTCTTTCCGAACACAATTTTTTCTATAGATCTGAAAGGAGCCTCGACAAGCAACAGCAGGAAGAGAGACACACCGAACGCAAATGTGACGTCACCAAACGTTAACCACATCTGAAACAAAATATTTATTTTCAGTTATAATATATACGTTGTTCTTTTTAAAATCCTATCATAAATTTAGGTTTATGTAGTTATTAAACGTAAAGTATTTCAAAGATAATTCTATAATGTAAATTAATTGCAGGCAGGAGCTAAGGACCATCTGTTTGTAAGCGAAAATTAATGAAGATAACAGAGAATATACATTTATGTACTTCGCAGCAAAAAAAAAAATACGACAATTCAGAGCTGTGAAACTGATGCATCTTAACGTAGGACTGCTTACCCCTGTATAAGCTGAGAGATATCGTGGCACTCGGAGACTTCCCTGGTCATACAGCTGGCCCATTGTGTGTGCCAAATACGCGCCGTATGTAAGACGGCTGAGCACAACAAAGGGTTTTGATGAGAAGAACCTCTGATATATGTCTGAAATAAAAGCACAATTTCTATACTGAGAAATTGAAGCAAATATTGGTAAACATAAAACACTAACAGCCATACAGAGCTACCTCCGGGCTCAACTTCTATGTGATTTGTACTTGTTGTGTAGCAGTGATTTCAAAACGTATCACTCTAATCTCCAGTCTGAATAATCAGAAGGTGTGAAACATATATATATATATATATTTCTTCTACCGGCTCTATACACTAACCAGCCAAGTAATCTTCCCTGAGGAGCAGAGTCCGATTTGAGAAGCTGATAGTCGCTCAGGTGGTGAAGAAAAAGCCCACCATCTTTGGAAACCGAGGGTTCATTGCTGTTTTCACACGAACCCATATGTGAGCCAGATGAATCCAGCCCATATTCTCTTACCTCATTCTTTAACATCCATTTGAACATTACATTCGAAAGAAAGCCTATGTCTTTCCCGTGGTTTCTTTATTTCGGGTTTTCCAGCTGAAATTTCGTATATAACTTTTATGTCCTATATTTATGCTACATGTACGTCTCTCATTCTTCTTGATCTGATTACCACACTGGGAGAAGAGGGTAGGTTCGTACGCATATATTTCTGAGTACAGTTTCATCACACTAAACATTAAGTACATGACATGACAATGCAGTACTTATTATCATTAAACCGTAACACATTTTTTGAAACACCTTTGAATATATACGATATACTTTATGCTAAGTACGAGGTACAGGGCATGCGGTAGCGTAGTTAGCTGGGGAACTATGCTGCAAGCCGGAAGTTCGCGGGTTCGAGTCCCGATGAGGTGGAGTTTTTTTCTATTAACCTAATAGTTCCAGCCGCACCATGGCCCTGGGGTCGGCTCAGCCTCTAACATAAATTAGTACCAGGAATCTTCCTGGGGGGTAAAAATGCTACCGGCGCATAAGGCTGACAACCTTACCGCCATCTGTGAGCCGACTGTCTAGATAATGTGGGATCCTCGACGCCTCATAATCCTATATGTCTTCAGGGCCTGTTACAGGGATAGCTTTACCTTATGCCGGTCACGGTAGTCGAGCTGTCTAAGGAATGCATTTTCTTCGATCACGTGGACGCTGGGATCGTGGGTTCGAATCCCACATAAGGCATGGATGTTTTGTGAATATATGTGTTTATTCTGTGTTTGTGTTGTCCTGGGTTTGGGTAGAGGCATTGCGATGAACTGATCACCGGCCCAAGGAGTCCTACCGTCTGTAAAATGATCATGACTCTGAGAAATGAGCCCTATGCTCCAAAGTTGGGAGCGAGAGGAGAGAGAAAGGAACGAGGTACATTCATTATTTTCTGGGCGTAATGTGGCATCCGCAGTACAATTAATTTTGTGGGTTTATGACTAAAATAAATGAACATGTACTTCATGGGGTCATGGAAAGCGGCAATGGAAACATACATCTACTCAGTGGAGAACGCCTGCAAATATTTTTCTTCTTCAGTTCAATGATCGTAACTGTGGCTCTGTTCTCAGGTTGGAGTAGTATGAAGAGATGTGCTCACCTATCTGTCCCCAAGTGATGAGGACGAAGAAACCCGCCACGGCCAAAGCGAAGCCAATGCGATGAAGGGATCCATATAGTGCTGCTTCCAACGCGTTGTAGGGCCGCCCTGGGATGAAGAACACGTACACGGACATCAGTATAGCGATGCCTAAGCCCCACACACACGTCAGGTAGGCGATGTGAGACAGCAGCTGTCGATAGTAGTACATGATTAAGCCCTGATGTTTCACATTGTAAAAGGTACCCAACTATAAAACGTTACGATCATACGTAACCACAATAATACATTAATTTTCTGTTAACTCAAGAACATGAATTGTATTAGGTAGGTACAAAATTATAACCTGAACGGAGGAAATTTAACTTATACAATTTTTATTGTCTTATTCAGTCCCTTAGGGAGAACACTGGGATAGTAGCTGAAAATAGGCCGATTATCTACCACTTCACCTTATTCAGTCATCAACTTATTTCATTCGAATTAAAGTAATTTATGCAACTGATGCATCATCGTTAAGTTAACATATATTTATAACGTTGTACTTCGAAATATTGCATTACCTTGGACTGAAACTCTGGATAAGTTTGGAATAACAGCTTATTTAACGCCACGACTTACGAATTTTATTATTATCACTTCGTTCTAGAAATCGTGTGCTGTGCAAGAAATGTTGTGATTTATGTAACGAACATAAATCTTTACTCCACAAGAAAGTTTTTGCAAAATACAAAACATTGCCAAGAAGAAGCGTGAAGACCAGTTCCTAGGGGGAGATCATCGGCCACTTCCTTTGTAGATTGTGTGATTTTTATATTATTTAATTGTGTAATTTTGTGTTCTGAGTAATTTCTAAGTGCATAGGTGCACATATATTTTTCCAGCTATACCTTACCGCCATCTGTGAGCCGATTGTCTAGTTAATGTGGGACCCTCAACGTCTCTCAACCCTATGGGCCTTCATGGCCTGTTCCAAGCTTTACTTTTCCCAGCTTGGAGCACATAAAACACCGATGTCAAGTAACGTACACAATCTCCTTTGAGCACTAACGTGAGCGCCGTAGTGAAGAAAATATTATACAGTTTCTGAGACAGTTGTTGTACGTTTGAACCGAACTGACTCTTCTGGAAGTAAACCTCTCGACTTGTATTCGGTAGATATTTCGTTATAATCTCGGCCGGGACACCGGCTCCTGGCTGACACTCTCGTGGTTTTTCTCAGTCCCTGCAGGCAAATACTATGATACTGCCTGGGCTACACCAAGACAGCTTCCTCCAAAATTTTTCAAATTCGTCAGTCATTCCTTCATCCGTTACTACATAATTTTAATGCTCAAAGCATCGTTAAATAACCTATGAAAATAATATTAGGTTTGGTGAATATGTAGTTCCCTTTTCTAATAGAGTATTTAATATGCATTTTTTTCCTTGGCATTACAGCCCCAGTGGGCCTAGGCCTACCTCCATGAACTTCTCCGTTCACTTCGGTTTTTCTAGATCTTACACATTCGGTAGGACTCCTTGGGCAGGTGATCATCTCGTCGCAAGGCCTCTACCTGTATACAAACACAGAAAAACACACACACACAAACTAAACATCCATGCCCTGAGTGGGATTCGAACCCACGATCCCGATTTCCAAGCGAGAGTAGACTGTATATGCCTTAGACCGCTCGGCTACCGTGACCGGCCATTTAATATGCATATAAACACTTAATTCACACTGTTCAATGCGTGTACCAAAATATAATTTGTTTCAAATAGTTAAAAATAATTTGTGACCTGGGACTTAGGCTTAGGTCGGAGGATTATGGATGGTAGAAGGACAGATGGACTGGATTCAGTTGGCTCAAGATAGGATCTGGTCGCGATTTTATTTAAAGACTGTAATGAACCTTCGATTTTTCTTAAGAGGGTGGACATTTGTTGACCAGCTGAACGAATATGTTTCTGAAAGACTTCACTGTATGAAAATAATTACGTAGTTAGTTACTGTATGAAATTTGTCGAAAATATGAGGTTTCGCGTATTCTGGTTATTCAGCGGGGAGACTGGAATATTAAGGTTAGGAAATCACAGACACACGGCAAGGCCAAGTCTGTAGCGCTTGAGCCTAAGCAGTATATGGCCCCTAAATCGAAAATAAAACAGTTACGTTGCCTCGCACTACCATCGGGTTACAGGAACATGGTCTCTGTGCAGATATGTGCTGACACTAGGTTCACTGTAAAGTCAGGATACGGCGCTGTAGTATCCACACCGACGCGACTTTGTCCTTATATCCTTGTTCCCCTGTTACGTAACACGTACCTTCCCGAGTCTGTGGCTGCTGTCCCGTAGCTGATAGAGCAACACTCCAATAATGACACCGACCACGTACGGTGCAGCTCTATTGTGCGTTGCCACATATATAGACTGGAAGTACCAACTGGCTCTCACGTCCCTGATATTTCTGTAAGTCAAGCATAAGTTACTCTTATTATACTCTTACCTACAGATAATTGTTCCTTACAAATTAACTGATTGCATGCTGGGAGATCTTCCTTGAACAGTTGATAGATAATGAACTACTAATGAACAGAGTTGCTTAATTTATTGGCCCCGAAAGTCCATTGTCTTGTAAGTGAAATATTATATATATATATTATACGTATTTTAAGTTTCTTTGGATGGGGTGAGACTGAGTCCACTTGGTACATCGGCCACTAACTGACCTACTACACAAGCCCTGGGTGGTAGATAATACATGTGAAGTAGTTCCGCTGTGTACACTACAAATCCCACATTGCCTGATCTGAGCTCGAACCAGGGCCGCCGTGGTGGAACGAAAAAATTATATTCGACTTGTACTTGTCCTGTTGGTTCCAGCCTCCATCTCCATAAATAGTTTCTTAGGAACCATATTAATAATATCGTTCCATCTGTGTGTAGTTCTCCGAACTTGCCTCTGTCCTTCGGGATTTTATACGAACATGCTATACACAGTTACGAAGTCTCTCATATGCTATGATCATCACTTAGAACAAACTGGCACGATATATGGTGAAGGCATAAGGCCCGGAAATATCGCAGACTGCCATGAAATTCTCTTTAGGCGAAATCCCTCAAAAGCTGCCTCGAGTTGGTTCTGCATCTCAGTATTTCGTGTAGAATAACGAACAAACTGGATTCTTCTCCTTAAAAAATAATTATACATACGAAAACATGAAATTCGGAACTCCCAAACACGACCATTTGAACCCGATTTTCGAAATTTCCGTCGTCCCACAAACATCCACGCTACCTGACAAAGAACACAGTAACCGCAACGCCGTTTCTGTAACATTTCCTTTTCTAATCTAACTAAATACATTTTTGCAGAATCGGCCAGTGAATTTGTCAGGTAAGAAAATTTTGCGAATGTTAGTGTTACACTTCGTTTGGAGGATGGGTCAAGTTTGTGTGGCAGATGTCCGAACTTGCTATTATAGGGATCTTTCAGCGAAAACGTGGATGCTTTTCTCCGCATGAAAGATTAACGTGGTTTCAGTACGTGGGAGCGGAGTTGACCGGTTGAGGAAGCTGACAGACAGCGGCGAGAGAGCGGAAGTCACTAAGCTAAAAACTGAGACAAGCTGTCAGGTGAAAGTTGCGCCATAACTTTGATTTTAATGTAGTGAGAGGTAATGCCGGCCGATCACATTGGCCGCGCGGTCTAAGGCATGAACCGTCTTCTCCCGCTCGAACACTGGAGTCATTGTTTCGAATCCCAATCCAGACATGAATGTCTGCTTGCGTTTGTTCTTTGTTTTTGTTGTTCTGTGTGTAGATAGTGGCCTTGTGAAAGGCTGATCCGCGGTCCAAGGAGTCTACGGATTGTGCATAGGATTAAGAAACTGAAAAAAAAAGCGGCCAAGTTCCAACAAAAGGAGCGTAGAGCCATATATACAGAACGTGTTGTTACCGATGTAAAATGGGATATGTACACGATAATGGGCAACGCAAGAAATGCAAGAAAAACGAATACCGTTAAAGTTGGATTGATTGGAGGATATCCTTAGCATTGCAATGAATGGCAAGTTCGGCTTGAAGCAGTATCGTAACATCGCAGTGTTATAATTTTCGCTGTCCGACAAGCCTTCGCTTACTGGTCACCTTTTCTGAGTCCAATTTTGCCACTTCTCCACTCTTGTGACGGATTAAATATGCCATATCACTGCTTACTGACTGCTTCATGCTAGTTCCTTGCTTGACTAACTCTTCGATCCTGAAAATGGAGGTGATATATTTCTCCTAAACTTTTCAATTTTTAACGTTGCTACACGGAGTTATATCACGGAAGATATAGCTCTTCATAACCACCGTTGCAAGGACCTCAGATCGAACATATCTTACTAATTCTCTCTCTCTCTCTCTCCTCTCGCTCCCACTTTGGAGCATAGGGCTGATTTCTCAGTTTCATGATCATTTTACACATGTTGTTTTCATTCTCTACAGAACGTACAATACTTTGTAAGATGAGGCACCGACTAAATATTTAATATTAATATTACTGCATCTACATCAGGAGCCTCCTATAACAGTTTATTTTATATACACAAAATATAGAAGACTCCAACTTGTCCGTGAGAACGCAACAAAATCACAATAACCAACTACTGACTTGATGATGTAAGGCATCAATCGAACAATTTTATTTTTGTTTTATACTATAACTTTTGTTTTATATAATCTAATTTATTGTACTTTTGCGCCAAGTATTTTAATATAATTAATATTATTGTATCCAATTTTATTAGTACTGCAGTTCAGTGGTGTATATATGTTAGCCATGTATTTGCCTGATGGTGGCTTTTAATAGCCGAAACATGTTGCAGAGTCAAACTAGGCACTGACCTTGATATAGTTGTGTTGTGGCTGTTTTAATAAAGAAGTTCTAACCTAAAAATGGTTGGATCATTACGCGATGCTTACTCCGGATAGGGATAGAGGAGCGGTGCCGCCTCGTTCTGATAAACGAGGACAAACGGAATGATGGTTGAGAGTGCCATGAGTGTCCCCAGAACTGTGTAGCCCAGTCGAGGCCAGCGCCAGATAGCGCAGACCGTCAGTAGAGACACGATGTACAACTGGAAGTCGGCCGCCAAGTACCACGATTGGAACATGCACTGTAACAAAACAGCATGACACGATTGTAACTGGCCTAGAGCTCAACAAGACTGAACGCGTATATATTGTCATTATACGCTAATTTCACCCCTCTTTTAAAATTGCATCCGAAGTGAACCTTGTACAGTATTAATGATGCTCCGAGGGGTGAAAATTTTACTGTCTGGAAGTGACTTTGGCATGAGCCTGCTCTAATATTTTGGGCTACGCCAAAATTGTTACATTTTGAGGCCTCGTCTATTGGAACATAAACATTTATATAAGACTCACTTAATCACCTAATCACCGTACTCACCATATCACCAACATTGACATAGTTGTTAATGTACAAGAGGTTCGACCACCAGTTTGTCGCACATCGTCGTTGCTCAAGCCCCACCGTAGAGTCCCAGAAGGGGCCTGACCCCATATGGGGGAGTAGAGTAGCATGGAAGAACACTAGCATCATGTATGAGGGTGTCAACCTGTGCAAAGTGTCACAAATTACTTGACAGTTCTGTACATGGTTTTAGCATAAATATACATGATATTTGCAGTGCAAAGCCACCATTTGTTCGCTCTTAATGAAACCTTACATGCCCTTCCTCCTCTTCTAACTTGACGGTCTGGCTATCTGGGTTGTTCCCATTCAGAATTAATTCTGAAATTATTTTTCTTGTTGACAGCCGGTGGGATTCCTTGGACGGGGGATAAGCCCGATTCAAGGCCGATACCTACGTAGGATAACATTAATATAGAACAAATGTTGACAGATATCCATGTGTCGAGTGGCAATCGAACCCACGATCGCAGTGTGAAGACATTTCACACCGTAGACCTTAGATTGCATATTAAACTTAAGGAAGGAGAGGATGCGATAGGGTAAGCTTACTAAGTCATGTTCCTGTGTGTGTGTGTGTGTGTGTGTGAGAGAGAGAGAGATACAAGCGAGTTCATTATGGAGGGTCCGGCAGTGGGATTCTTCTCTTACCTAATGAAGCGCACGAATATTGGCATTACTATGTTGATGCGTTCGGTTTTGGCCAGGTGGACGAGTAAGGGATACGACAACAAAATTCCACTTAGTGCGAAGAAACCATCCACAATGACAGGGCCATTAGCAAGGAGCATGGCTGGTGCATTCTGGAACAGCTGTGAAATGAACAAAAACATAGTTAGCTTTCTTAACGTTAATTGATGCGTAAATTGAAATACTAAGGTAATTATAGTACAAGAGGACATACATTGGGGGTACGCGTTAACGTAGTTGGTTGAGGCACTATGCTACAAGCCGGGAGGTCGCGGGTTCAAGTCCCGGTTAGATCATTGAATTTTTTTTTCAGTTGACCTAATTCTTCCAGCCGCACTATGGCCCTGGACTCGACTCAGTCTCTAACAGAAATGAGTACCAGGAATATTCCTGGGGGTAAAGCGCGGCCGGAGCGTAAGGCTGACAACCTTACCGCCATCTGTGAGCTGATTGTCTAGAAAATGTAGGAACCTCAACATCTCACAACCCTATGGGCCTCCACGGCCTGATACAGGGATACCTTTACTTACTTTTACTTTTGTAGGACATACATTACATGGTGGCTTTAGAAGAGTTCACAAGTCTGCTTTCATTCGCATATTTAAGTCAATAAGATTGGAGAGGTTCTAGATAGTGAGATATATGAATTCGTGATTTCACAGTTTAATGGTCAATTTTGTGCATAATTTGCATTAGTACAGACTCCAAACTCTGTTAATATTTATATATGTAGCTTAAAAATGCACAACGACTCCATGTTTGTTATTTTTATCATGTAAATGAAATGCCATGCTGAATTTACAGGTATCTTTGTAACATTGTATTTCAACGTTCTGCTGCATGTTTACGCTATACTTGCATACTAAATTTCTCATGATTACTTCAAATAGTTCATCACTTATCAATATAAGCAGCAGATTTCTAGTGGACGCCATTTGTTTTCCACAATCTACAAGATTTACGTTAATAGAAGTGCTGTAAAAGTAAAGTAATCCTGTGGTGCTGTAAGATATCAAGAAAAGAAGAAAGAGCTGGCAAGAAATAAAAAAGTAGAAATTGTGAAAAAGTGGAAGAGATTATAGAATTTTTGTATATGAATTCATATAAAGTCGAAAGTGATGCTGGAAGAAAAAGTAGAGAATAAGAGAAAATGATGATAATGATGATGATGTCCAGATTCTCATGCAGATGTTGTTATTTACATGTAAATGGGTTAATTTATTCGGCAGAAGGAATAGAGAGTAAATATTTATGGTAATTAAAGATGAGATATTAAAACTTCACTTTCAAAGGCAAATTATACCCTAGAAAGCGAATGTTTTGCTGTAACCTAGACATAATATAACTTTATGCTTAGAAACCACGTCAGATGCATCACTTGATGTAGTAAAATTCCGATCAAGAAACCAGTCTTGTCCTTCGGTTCAGAATATTTGTGAACGCGTAATACAGAGTCAAAGTGCTTGCAGATTTGTAGCCACGCCCAACCAGCTCACCCTTTCCTCGGTCTCAGCATTGAATATGGGGTGCCCTCCAAATGTAGTGATCCTGTGCCCCATGATAATGAATAACATGAACATGAGTCTGGATCCATGAGACGCATCGAGAGCCGGGTGAATGGAGTTGTGGCTTGTGAGCTTCTTCAAGTTCCGCCTTGCTGAGAAACACAGGAACGCCGTCTCGAACCTGGACAGTTTCTTCGTAGCTGGAAAACATGTGAGATTTAGGTGACATTCATCTAGTACAAGACAAATGATTTTATTATATGAATGCACTGAGATGCAGTTATTGCCGTTGCACAACTCATGATTTTTTAAATACTCTGATATCATGTTGCCGATGACAGTGGTCCCACAGACTAAGTCATGAACTGTCTTCGCTCGCTAGAACAATGGGATCGTGAGTTCGAATACCACTCAAAGCATGGATGTCTACCTTTATTCTGTGTTTGTGTTGTCCTGTGTAGGTAGCGGCCTTGCGACGGTCTGATCCTCCGTCCAAAGAATCCTACCGTCTTAGGATTAAGAAACTCAAGTGTAACAAAGATTTTCACGGATTCCCTGTGCTCCAAATTCGGAGATAAAGGAAGATATACTCGTATGTGTGTGTGTGTGTGTGTGTGTGTGTGCGTGTTACTTAACAGTGGCTTCTGAAGCAAATGTGGGACTTTATTAGTAGATTCACCGAGTAGGCTAGTTGTTTGGGTAAACTGAATGCAATTGGAATGTACATTTTTAATCTGCCTGTAGATTTCAAAAGACTGCTTCAGCCATTTTTGGCAACGTAATATTCAAACGAGACAGCGGAACTTATTAGAGGACAAAGCACTGATCTACTCAATGGCATTCTTTTCAGAGGCTTTAAATTTGAGTTACAAACCTGCTCGTGCTTTTGAAATTCTGCTAAACTAAGTAGGATCTACGAGTTATATTCCTCACAGTTGAGTGTATATACAGTAGTTGTATGAAATTGCTTCTTCACTTCCAGTTTTCTTCTCTTTGTCTTTTTAATTTTCATATCAGAATAAACAGTTTGCAAATTGATTAAAATGTAGAACATAATTTGGAATGTTTAAGCAACAGGTCTCTGATGCCTGTATTGCATATACCTTAACCTGCTTCTTCATTTACCTCAGATGTTAAAGCGACGTCTAATAACAACGTCGAATTTTGGCCCAAAGTTTTCGAAATATTTATTTGATAAAATACAAATGGTTCTCTACAGGTTTGTAGAAGATACTTGCATGATTTACTCGTCGTGGCCTTTAACCATCTATACACTGAATTTCTCTTATAGTATATATAAATTCAGTTCATACCTCACAGGGAACATATTATGTCTTCGCTACAAAGACCAGTCAGTTGACATTTAGGGAAAACATGCTGTTTATTATGAAAAACACACAAAACACAGAAGTAGATTCTGTGGGACATTAACTGTTGTCTAGGGTATTTGAATTGTGACTCACAGGACATTTCGTAATTTTCCTAAGGTCTGTTCTTCGGGTGATTTGTTATCATTTTAATGTCCACTGCTAATTAATATCGTGAATAACTCATAAGGTCTAAAGTAAATATATCTCAGACAATGAACAGAGGACCTTCTCAAACATAACTACATTGTCACAAGCTTTTAAAGAATCTAACAGCTATATTTACGAGTGTTTCATATCTGTGGCAAGATTATACAGTAATTTGCTTAAAACTTTCACACCATCTCGAATTAGGCATCAAGTGTAGAATTCAGGTTCACACATCGGTGATCTAAAGAATTCTATCTTATGTGATAGAACGCTGTGTAGTCAGCTGAATATCAATGTACGTTTCGAAAGAACATATCGTCTCCATCTACAGGGTTGAATAATAATCAAAGCAAGAAACCAGCGTGAAACAAGTAGCAAACACATATTCCTCCGAAACGTCGGTTGACTTTCAACGAACTACATGGTGATATATCCTAGAAAATAGTACTCTTCATAACCATCGCTGTGAGAAGCTCAAATCCTACGAGTATCGTAGAAATTTACGGTGAATTTAATTACCTTGGCGCGGCAAAATACTGAGAGGCCTACACCTTTAACACACATTAACATAAAGACATTATATTGTAGCGTGTAGAGCCGTTGCTATGTAAAAAGCGAGATGGACAGATATAGCAGTACCGTTACTGCACAACGGGTCAGTAAGCACGTTCTTATTGCTAAGCAGCAGATTCTTAACAATGTTACAGTTGGACAACAACAATTTAAGAGCGGTGTTCTTTACGTGGTCCGTGTCGAGAGGTTATGAGCGGGAAGAGATTTCGAGCTTAGTTAGTTGATAGTGAGTTATATAAGCGAGTCTGAGGATAAAGGATACTAGACCGAAGGTAGAGGAATAGCCTTTGTTGGAGCCGTTGCCAGGAAACGTCCAATAAGAAACTGAGAAGACTAGACTGTGCTCTAGTGAACTGTAAAGTATGGAAAAAGCGATAATGTTAAGATTTATTTGTAGTTACGACCTGTAAGTGTTCAATAAATATATTCACCAATCCAAACCCCGTCTATAGTCACACATAATACCGAAAATATTAACATTTAACTTGTATTACAAATACTACTAAATAATTATAAGGTAACTGAAAATCTTACTGAAGATTTTCGAGACAAATCACAGTAATTAGAGATTTTGTACAGTAACAGTGTGACGACCGTCTGTACGAGACTATCTCTCTCCCACACTAAAGCAAATACATCTCTTAATCTTCCTCCAGCGTTCAAACTGCTCGGATATCGTTTGTCACCTTTGTTGCAATTTAATGAAAGAATATACATAAGACCGTAGAGCGAATATGTTGATATAGTAATTAAGTATTAATGTCACATTTTAATACAGTTCAAGATTTCATTGTCTATCTCTGACGTGACGTCTTTTCATTGCAATGAAACACATAGTGAAATTAAACTATTGAAACGTTCGGTGCAATTTTAATTTTGGCGTTCGGAAATTGTAACGTCTTAATGGGACTGATAATTTGTAAAATCTGTAAGAATAAGAAGTCGTGTACGTACTCGACTCTGCTCCTTTCTCAGGTAGATCAGTGGAGAGTGCGAAGTCGTACCATGTACTCGACACTAGCAGAAATATCAGTGCAACCAGAATAAACCTGAAAATGAAACCATTTTTAATAATATTATCTGAGTTGTGTAAGCTACAGTTTTATATTCTTTTTAAGAAAGTCAAATTACGAACATGTCCTTATGAATAACTGAGGAACTAAGTCGAAATTATACTTTATTCAGTTCAATTCAATTCTTTATTATTAATGTGCCGAGTCAAAAGCCGCAAGGCCAATTACAGACACAGCACAGTGCAGATGAATGAATTACATTATAGACAAACTTATTAAAAGTCAAATACAAATTACACGTAAGTACTTGGAAGAAATAATAATGAATAAAAGCAAAAGTAAACAAACAAATAGCCGATAATTATGACAGTAATAATAATTTCATTATCATTAAACTAAGTGTTATTACGAATTGAGGAATGAAACATAAATATTTAATTAAGAAATGAATAGTGTAGATTTTCAGAGGATAATAATAATATACGTAATTCAGTTTGTTTTACTGGACATACAAATAATAAAAATACTAACAGTTATACTATAATTATGTAAATTAAATATGAATATTTTCTAAAACCAACTTGTAACATATATTTTAGTCCACCTTTTCTCTAACAGAGTCAAAAGTGAAGAGTTCACACTCAAACAAATTGATTGCAATAAACTCAGACAACTGGATACTGGAGTTGAAGTCTTTTGCATGTTACAGAGGAAATTCTGAAGTTACCGGATTCTCTGGTTTGGGGAAAATGTTTGTTCTATAATTATTAAATTCGTCCTCTTCATTTTTTTTTGATTCATAACATTTATGAGCATAAATTATTAACCTTTTATAAAAATGAGAATCTTTTGTGACAGTGAGATGAAAATTTTGAAATTAGGCGATTTCAGTTCACTATAAGAACGAAATGTCGAGCGTTGCGACGTAGCATGAATGTCAGTTATACATCAGGTCACGAACACCCGATTAGTCTTTTGTTTCATTATGTTATGTCTATTGTGTGAGAACTGATAATATTTAAATGTATGTGAAATGTAGTAAGTATTTATTGTAGAATGCATCTTAAGTTTATTAAGTTTTACAAGGTTTCTTTCTTTTTCAAACGATGCATGTAAAGATGTAAATTCAGTAAAGTTATCCGTCAAGACTCAATAAATTCTAACTACCATGAGCGGTATCAATAATTCGTGATCATGGAATTTCTATATTATGGCGTCTAGACCCTCTGCTAAGAAGTGAATCTGTAAACAGAGGCCGTTGTTAGGTAATGCCCACAACATGCATGAACGCAACAATAGAAGAACTGTGTTTTCTGTTGGTCAGTGCCGAGGGGCTATAAGCGGGGTAAAGTTTAAAGCTTAGTTCAACACTACGAGGAGAGGGGTTCGAATATTTTCAGCGTAGCCCTGAGGGCTGTGGAAGGAGACGAAAATGGAACCCAGTGACCGTGGGTGTAAATGGGCTACCATGTCCCCGGGGGCCTGGTCCTCCAAGTTGAAGGAGTTTCGAGTCTGAGTCAGTAAAATATAGTCATGAGTCCCGCGGGGCTCGGACCCAAGAATGACTTCGCTGGCGAGGACCAGCAATAGTTGTAGACGACAGATCCATCTTCTCATCAGAGAGGACGTCACACAAGGGCTATAACCACAGTTGAGAGAATAGTGCTTGTGGGTCTGAATGGGCTTGGCTCCAAGATGAACTGATTGACGGTAACCCGCGAGTCGTGAAGTAGCTCTGACTCTAACTTTGAGACTAGTTCAGTTGTGGGATATTTGCCAGCCGGCAAAGACGTGAGCACGGAAGATGAAGAATCTACGTCGGTAGGAACCGTCGCCAGGCAACAACAAGTGGAGACTGTACGTGGTAACACAGTGAGAACACTAGTGTGTTTGTAAAAGTGAACTGTGAAGTGTAGTCACGAGTTGTGCTTATAAGTTGTCAATAAATGCAGTCACCAATTCAAACCCCGTCTATATTCACTCATACAATATTAATGTGTTTACTAGGATCAAGTAGAAGTGTACTCTTCCCCGACATTTTCTCAAGCAGTGATGCAATGCCCATAAGTATTCTTTGAATAACAACGTTGTTATAATCTATGCACATATCATATAGATCTTTATTACAACATAGCTATACAATTAACCATTTCTTCTAAATAATTCCATTCTAAGTATCATTTGCGTTTCTTCTAACTAGGAAATATTTTCTCTTGGATCAGATATATTATAATAATTAGGATTTTTATGTTAATACTTTGAGTTTACCTTTGTTTTTAACAGTCAATTCCTTACCTTATTATAATATTTATAAATATTTGAGTTTCGAAAGATGATGTTCTAAATGTTTTTCTGTATCTTTGTGTGAGGAAGACTCATAACTTAGTTTCCCTATTTATGATATATTTATTATCACATTATATGCTGCACATATTATTTAAGTTTCAAAAATCTATAGAAAATTTCATCTCATATGTGATCTTGCCGATATACAATGAAGAAGTGTGAACAATTTGTATGTGTTAGAGCAGCTTTAGGACATATGCCCTAGAAGCCAAATTACGTTTGAAGAGGTTGATACAAGTCAGGGTCTTTCTTCAATTTGCACAGTAAACTCATTCTCAGCTTCAATGGCCACTCAGAGATTTCCCATTGGTTACTTGGTCCTACAATCAATTTCCACGATTCATCATCATAAATTATTGTTCTTTGTGGGAGCATGAACAAACNCTACCCTGAAGATGGAGTTCAAACTATAGGTAGTTTAACATTGCTGCACCAACTGCAGCTCTCACTTCGGATTGAATTATGCGATATTATGATCATGTATGCTGAATTAGAAATGATTGGGGAAAAGCGATCTTCTACTTCGAGGTACTATTCAGGCATTCGTCTGTAGGTCCTGAGGGAGACCACAGAGTCCTCAGTCATCTGCCCGATATTTGAAAGAGGCACGCTCACAATATAAATCAGGAGGTTTAGGGCTTCAGTCTACTTGCTCGATTTCTGCATGGAGGGTAAAACTCTACTTTTAGGACGTAATCAGCAGTGATACAAGGTGTACATAAACCTCCTGGCTGGGCTTGAAAATATAACTCCAGAATTTGCTCGGTCTCAGCCGCCATAGTGGCGCTGTGACCATCGGCAGGAAATATACCTGAAAAGCCTGCATTTCTCCATTTTATGAGTGTCAATTGACTGGCTACTGGATGAACGACCAAGGGATCGGAGTTCTTGTCCCGGTGAGGGCATGAATTTTCTCTTCTGCATGTCGTCCAGACCGACTCTGGGGCCTACCCGTCCTCCTATCAATGGGATATCGGGGCATCTTCCCGGGAGTTAAAGCGGCAGGATCGTGAAACTGACCACTGACGTACAACTGTATTTCTTTAAGTGTTTGCCACAGAGGAAAGCGTTTCAAATAAAATAAATATTGGCCATATAGGACCGCATGAATCTTATGTGTAATGAACCATTCTATGAGAATATTTATGCAATTAGATCCGATCTTGTGTAAAGTAGCGACTAAACAGATTTGAAAGAAGTTTAAATCAAAGACATCTTATAAAATTTGATCATGATTCCTCGATACCAAATTGCATCTGAATCCTTAAAGTGGTATTCGTGATAATTCATGCGAAAGGACATAAGGAGATGCGGCGCAACCACCTCATAATTCTATTATAAAAAGATAAAACAGTTCCGTCTAGTGTGACAGGTGAAGATTTTTCTTATTTCAATTCTTCATGACCTTACACGTCCCGGTCCTTAGAGATCATCATCAGAGGGACAGCGATTCAGTCTGGAAACCACTATTACAATATGCGTTCTGAATGTTAAAATATATATACATACAATGTTGACAACACACAAATGGATACAAAATCCAAAGTTTTCACAACTACAGAGGCTCTCATGATATATACAGTAGAACTTCGTTATAACGTCATCAAAGGGACCTAAAAATAGTGTCGTTATAAACGAATGTCGTTGTAACCGAAATGGGCACTTCCACAGTAGCCTTATGTTAGTCACGTAAAAATCTACCAAAAACCGAGTTAAAATGTTGCATTTTTTAGTGAAATACGTAGTTAAGTACAGACTAACGTAACATTAACGTGGAATTGCCCAAATGTGTAATATCAAAGACATATTACAGCGCTTTTCACTGACAATACACACCGCACTAATACTGTATATTAAAGGTAGGCCTACTCACCAAATTACAGTAGATTACATCAATTGTTGTGCCTTACTGTACCTAGATACGAGTACAGTAATCAGTTATCTTCATCTGTTTCCTGTTACTTGCCCAATACACACTTTCTAAATTACGTTCAATGTCCATATCAGAGAAATTCAGGAATGAAAATGACGTTACATACGAGGTTGATGCATTTGTGCATGTCGTACTAAGCAAGGTAAAAAACAGTTGCTTTATGAGGAATTAGTTCGTACCATTGAATATTTGACGCAATAGACAAGGTGTCGCAGAAACCGATGTTGCTATAACCAAGTTTTACTGTGTATATATATATTTAATGTTAGTTAAGTTATAATTTATAATCTTAATTTTAAAATTGTACGATTAATAGTGTTATATCCATTTTATGATTGCAGTTAAATGGTAGATCTTTGTCGATATGTATTTGCCTGATGATGGCCGATAGTGTCCGAAACATGTAGCAAAGCCACAGCTGCACGCTGACTTTGATGTTTGACTATTTGCTGTGTTGTGACGGTTCATTAAAGAGTTAGAATTTATAAACCAAATGGGTTCGTGTCCTCTCTCTTATCACCTATCCTGACGGGGCCGAACTTGTGCCGCCTGTCTTTCTTGAGAAGAAGGTTATTTGATGTCCTGTGGTTGTTTGTGGCGCGCTGAAGTTGTGAAAACTTTGGATTTCGTATCCATTTGTGTATTGTCAGCATTGTATATATATTTTAACACTCAGGACACCTATTGTAATGGTGATTTCCAAACTGTATCGATGTCCCTCTGATGATGGTGTCCAAGGACCGAAACATGTAAGGGCATGAAGAATTGAAATAAGAAAAATCTTCACCAGTCTCACTGGACGGAACTGTTTTATCTCTTTATAATATTGTTAGTGTGACGAACCAGAGTGAAACAAATCAAATACCTCATAATTCGTTAATTTTATGCATTTTCCAGGAAATTAAAATACTTATATAGGTCGGTGCCTTGCTGGACTGTATTGGTGAGATACTTACAGGTAGATTATGTCTCCCGTCGAGAAGGGGTCGTCATTGTCCAGCGTATGACAGAGATCCTGCGATATCCGGGGTGTGAACTGGATGCCTTGAGACCCGCCAATCTTGCTGAGCTCCTGTTTCAGAACGTTGTGTAACTCCTCGGGAGAGCAGGAAGCCGGCACGCAGAGTGCCCAGTGTATAATGTCACGTCTCACTTTGGCAGGGTCGTGTCTGTACTGTGGAGCAGGTCAGGCATTACAATTATTAGTCTGATTGCTATTGAAATATTGCTAATTGAAAGGTGAGCATATTTACGTCCACGCTGGTATCTTGCTATCACTATCACGGGTTCATTGACTTTCAGGCTGTTTAGTACTGAGAGCCTCAATGAGAGAAAAAAGTAGACATGAAAGGTAAAAGGCAAAAGCTGAGAGAAAAAACGTAAAACTTCAGTCAGGATAATCTGTAATACGGTCGGGGTTCGACCCGGGTGCCTTCTGAGTACATCTCTAGGGTCAGTATTTTGTTCACCGTCGTTTTTACACATCAATTTAGCGGCGCAATATAACTGTGTAATCATAGGTAATATTATCATCATACATTTGTTGGCACTGTGGTGTTTGTTTCTTCTGTATGTTCTTATTATGCCATCATCATCATATATTTATTTGATATGTACTCTAGTAATATGTGCATGTTTGTAATAATTGTCAATAATATTCAATTTCTAAATCTAAAATTAAAGTTTTGTGTTATACGTGTATGTAAAGTTAAGTTAATGCTCTCTTCTCGTTATGGTTGCAATTCGAAATTTTCGTGAGGTGGCTTCTCTGATGTTAACCTTATTCTCGTTTTGTTGGTGTGGGTTTCGGTTTTACGTGCTGTTACAGGTATCCGATACTGATTCGTGGATGTGTGAGAGCTTGCGGGTGGTTGTGCACAGTATTAGCAGAGTTGAAGCACACAGACAGTCAGCGGGTTTTACTGATCTTCACAGTTGCACGGATAGTACCACTGCTTCATGCTCCAAAGGATCTGAAATCTCATGTCATCCTGGCGACCGACTATACTGACTGAGGTTTCCGTGGCCTTCCTCAGTAACCCCAGGAACATATAGGAATGACGCTTTAAGTTACATCACGATCGCTTCCTGCCATGTTTCTTCCTGTTCAGTATTCGCCCATTATACCACCATTCCGACGCTCTGTGGGTAGAGCTACTGGTAGTGTCGTTAAATAAGCAATTAGTAGATCAAAACGCCTATAAAATTCGTTGTACTATTCGTTTCGCTTTACCAGACATACCTAAATATTATTTTAGTTCTACAAGGAAGTGATTTACCTAGCGATTTCATAAGTAAGGTGAAAATACAAGACGGTTGTGTAGGTTTCACTTTCAGTGACTGCCCTTGAGCAGCTCTCCGTAAGATAACATCCGTAAACAAGCTCCACCTCACAGACAGAAGTTCAACAGACCACTGTAACAATTAGAATAACCGGTTTATCGTCTGCGGCAGACTACTTCCGCTGTTATTCAACGACACACTTATCCGTGTCGCTGTTACTTCACGTAGGAGTTTCACATGATCCCCGTCTATTTCCGGTTTGGAACCTTGTCGGCACGAAAATACGGCTGATGTTTCATATCTGTGCGTGCTTCACATTTATCTGTTGCTTAGACTCATTGTAACTGGAAACGTTACGTAATACAAATTGTAAGGTTGGCCTGTGTTTAATTTTATGAATGTAATTACTATATTTCATAATGTGCGTAATGATATACCGGACTGAAAGAAGCATGCGCCGATGAATAGCAAATAGAATTACGTATAGTATACAATGATTAACAACACCGTTGTTGTATTTAATTATTATGAAATACAGTTTTTATTATACAATCACAATGGACGGTTCTGTGAATCATTTTATACTGTTGCTTGTATGACGGACCAAAACGAGTCAAGTTAAGAATGGCGCAGGTATTTTAATCTGCGGTCTACTCTACAGCGTAGGTGGCTTAGGGGCTATGCTACAAGCCGGCAGGTCGCGGGTTCCAGTTCCGATGAGGTCATTGTTTTTTTTTTCAATTGACCTAATCCTACCAGCCGCATTATGACCCTGAGGTTCACTCAACCTCTAACAGAAATGAGTACCAGGAATTAATTACATAATTTTCCTGGGGAGTAAAGCGCGGCCGGCGCGTAAGGCTTACAACCTTACCGCCATCTTTGAGCCGATTGTCTGGATAATATGGGAACCTCAACGTCTCACAACCCTATGGGCCTTCACGGCCTGGTACAGGGATAGATTTACTTTTTACTTTTATTTTAATCTGTTCAGAGTGATAATGTCTTGAAATCTGGGACACCAAGTATCTTGACATGATGTTTCCCGAGATTTCCTCACTCCCTTCAGGCGGATTTTGGGATAGAATTGCAAAATTGGCCACAGCCGTTTTCCTTCTACACCCTTTCCAATTCTCCGCTCTTAATCAGCGTACTAGGAGATACTATGCAGTTGAGCTTCGGTGAGTGGCGTCAAATAAAATATAAATAAGTGAAATAGAAAAGTATGTAGTCAGATATTTCTATTGTCATTCTATTCATACCATGTTCATAAAATCCTTCACTTGTTCAATAATTAAAGGGAGCAGACGAAATGATGCGCTGATGTGATATGTTTGTCTTTCGTTACAATAGAAAGACAGCGGGAAGATCGCATTGAAGCTGTAATTATAAAATATTTGATAAATGTTTTAATAGCAGAAGACGTTAGTACAAAGCTAAACTGTGAGGAATGGAAAAGAAATGGGGCAATATACACAGTCACATGCACATGTCTGTATACATTTCCTTTATAAATATAGATAATGCCAGTTAATTATTCAAATACAGACATTACAGAAATTATACGCACTCAAAGAACAGTAGAAAGCCATTTCATAAAAAATCAATTTAAGAAATTTTTTCACGAAATGTAGGTGGACGAAGGGTGAATATTGACGTCCAGAAAGATTCAAACTCGTGACCGCAGAGATTCGCAAATTGCTAGTGACTCTTAACTGTGTTAACCTGGAAGCCCGAACTAATTATCGCGTGTGAGACAGAAGGGTTACAGGCATACGTGCATACTATGCCGACGTGGATGATGCATATATCTTCCTTTCTGTATAGAATAAGAACATTATTCAAGCAGTTAGAATAGGCAGTTGATATATTCCTTCCAAAGCCTATCACAGTGGCCGCAAAGTCTAAGACATGAACTGTCTTCTACCGCTCTAACACTGCGGTCGTGGGTTCGAATCCCACTCGAGTCATGGATATTTGTCCACGTTTATTCTGTGTTTGTATTGTCCTGTGCAGGTAGGGGCCTTGCGATGGACTCATTCCTCGTCCAAGGAGTCCTACTGACTGTCTAAACATAAAAAAAAATGAAGTGAAACGAAGCGTTTCACGAATGCCCTATACTCCAGAGAGAGATACCTGAATATGAAAGAAATAATGAATAATTGCCTCCAGAACCTACAATTTTATTAATCGAGTAATAGAAATTATATACACGAAATATTATAATGTGTACCCATAAAATAATAAATTAATTTTGCTTGAGAAATTATGAAAGAAAATATATTTTGAAGAGTGCCGTCTTCTGGGATGTGGCGCCGTATAGATCTTATGTGAACAGCCGTTTCGGAGGAGCATATCGCCTCCATTTTCATGGTAGAAAAATCCACGAGTTAGTAACCAGCGTGAGCAGGTGGCTACAGACTGGTTCCTCCGAAACGTCGGTTTACACAAGATACATTGCTCCGCATCCCAGAAGATGACATTCTTCACAGAAACCGTCGTGAGAAATCTCAATTCTTATAAAATATATTTTCCTTGAATAAACAAATCCATGAGATGTACCACTGATAGCGACAGGACTCTCCTTGGCTCTTACCGCAATCTTTTCCCAGGCAGATGTTCTGGGGTCGTAATTGAGGGTATACGGGTCAGTTCGGGATGAGAAAGAGGAGTTAATCTGTATTTCGGCCAAGCAGTACTGTCCCTTCAGGGTCCCACCAAGCCTTTCTCCAACGTCCACTGAGATCTCCACGCACTCGTCATAATGTCCCAGGTGGTACTGATTTCCTGCCAGAACGCCAACTGGGATCTTGGCTGCTGAATCAAACACTGTGAACAAAAACGAATCGTTTAGCAGATACGCTTCAGTCACTTGCAGCTGTTTGGAGAAATGTAGGTTTCCGAGGGGTTGGACAATGTGTCTGTTAAATACCCCGGTCACGACTTGCAGATGTAATATGGGGCGAGCCCTCGTCAGACACCTATACTGATTTTCATAAGTCTCTTCAGGCAAATTCCGTGATAGTGCTTTGAAACAATCCATGAAAGCCTTCTTTCAATTCCCTAATGAATCACCATTTATTACAGTTTAATTATTCATGTCATATATTATTTATAGTTGAAATCGCATTAAGTTACCATAAACTTTATTAAAACGGGGGAGAAATTCTCACAGTGATACTGGCACATGTTTAAGACATCTAAATTCAGAACTGTGCTTGATACCACCAGCACTGTTACACAGTTCCCACGCACATCACGAAGACATAATTGAAGACACTGATTTGAAAAAGGGACGATTTGTCCTGTAATAGCATGTTACAAATATCATTCGCCCAGTTTTGTGTCTGTATTAAATTAGGGGGCCGGTCACAGTAGCCGCACGATCTAAGACATGAACTATCTTCGCTCGCTCGGACGCTGAGATCGTGGGTTCAAGTCCCACTCAGGTCATGAATGTTTGGTGTATGGGTATTTGTGCTGTCCTCTGTTTAGGTAGCGGCCTTGTGAAGGGCTAGTCATTCGCCCGGGAGCCCTACCGTCTGTGTAAAATGATTACGTAACTGAATAAGAGGCCAGGGCCCTGAATGGGCTCGAAGAGCCATTAAAAAGAAATTAAATTAGTGGTAATTGATGAAACAGAGTGGAAGAGACGGATGTGCTGATGGTCAAGTGGAGCATAAAATAATTTTGATTGGGGAGCAGGTTTCCTTGGGGCAACGGCATGAATTAGATTCGCACAGAACAGCTGAATGACCCACAGGCATTTCAAGTATTAAAGTAAAGAAATAACTTCTTGTGTCTTTTCTGTGCCCTCTGGAAACACAAGTACTTCATAAGGAAATTTTGCATTTACATTCAGGCAGAAGATGGAAGAAGAATTTCCTCCATAATGTATGTACTTTCCCACCGAACTACAAGATGCTATAACCTAGGAATCACATTCTAAACCTTCGTAGCTGCGCAAAATTCCAAGTCACACAACTTCACATTATTAGAAGCGTCAACACGTTTACTTTTCTACAACGTCAAGTAATGCTGTGCCTCAGTTCTTTAGGAGTAATTACATGTGTAAACATTTACAACACGTCTTAGGATCTCATAGAAAAGACTGAATTTTGATCCTTGTTACGGCCGATAGCATGTTATTTTAGTTCAGCTTAGAGGCTCCCGTGTTTCCTGTCTAACGAATCAAGAAAATTCTTTTAGCCCGTGACATATGTACTTTGACGGCTGCGAGATATCTTAAAGTCTGTATAGTCTTAAGTATTTACACGATTATAAAATCTTAGAGGATAAATATGGAAGTCTTTAATTCCTACACACACAAAAATATAGTACGCTTATATCTGTATGCATTGATTGAAATGTTTTCATTACTTTCATATAAATATAAAGCACTAAGATGTATTTCAAATGGCGAATACTCTAAAGACAATAGAATTGCGTAGGTGAACTTCTGTCTCCATTGTTCAATACCAAACTATGTTACGTGTATGAAATTAATGTCTTTTACTGTGACGAAAAAATCAGCAGAGTTGGCGACTAGCTTTAGGGCGATAATTGGCGTAAACCCGGTACTCTTATAAATAACATTATCTTAAGGAACTTCTCTCTGTGGCTCTGCAACCCTTTGTTGGACCCTGGCCGATTTTTTAGTTTCTTAATCCTATACACAGTCTGTAGGACTCCTTGGACGGAGGATCAGCCAGTCGCAAGGCCGCTACCTGCATACAGGACAACACATACACAGAATAAACGCACACAAACATCCACGCCTCGAGTGGAATTCGAACCCACAATCTCAGAGTTCTAGCGGGCGAAGACGGTTCATGTCTTAGACTACGCGACCATTGCGATCGGACATAAGGAACCTATATAGGCATATTTTTTTATTGCTAGTGGGGTGGGACTAAGTCCCTTGTACTGCGGCCACTTCTGGCCTATTGTACCAGCCCCAGATGATAGGTGAGGGTGATTGTGGATTGGCAATGGATTGACGATTGGCAGGAGAAACCGAAGTGGTCGGAGAAAACCTGCCCAAGCGCCACTTTGTCCACCACAAATCCCACTTGACCAGACCCGGGATCGAACCCGGGCCGCCGCGGTGAGAAACCAGCGACTAACCGCTTGAGCTATGGCGCGGCCTCAGCATAAGGAACACTTGTCAGCAGTAGTTACTCATCTTTAATAACTGAAGAGAAACCAATTGAAACTGAACGAAGTGAAAGTGCACACCGTAACAGGTACTTTTAGCTCGTGTCCGCTTTAACAGGGGCACATGATTGTTCTTATATTCCAACCCAGCTCTAGTAAAAAGGACAGTGGCTGCTTACAAAGCATGCACGTATTAATAAAATAATTGAGCAAGACATGACTTCAGGCTGGAAAAGGAATAAGGGGAGTTCAACAGCAGACCAAGAACAAAACACAAAGAACACCCGTGCATTCATTTCATTTGCAGTTTTATTTTAATCTGAAATAAATTATTTTTAGCCAGCATTCCTTATTGTGAATAAATAAAAGTATGCATACGAAATCACTCTGCTATTTCTATGTGTTCTTGTGTCTGTGTTTACTTATTTACAACACACCTGTTTATGACCACGCTGCCGAAACATGTAGTTGTTAAATGAGAAAACAAAACTAAAACATTTATATTCTTATGGATCTTATTGAACCTTACTGAATTTTGATTAAATTCGTTGTTGGGTCGACAGCTAAATATCTCGAAGTGTCTATGTCTCTCTATGTGTATCCATCCCTAGCAACTTCTGAACACCTTAATCGGTCTTTATGAATCTTGGTATGTATACCATACAGCCTGATTCTATTTCAAAGGCGTATTTCATAAATCTCTCCCATTCCTAATACCAGCATTGTGATCTCTCAAATCATTTTGATATTGACCTTAATATTATCTGAATACCTGAAATTATCAACATTAGGCTTGATATTTGTATCGTGCCACCTAAGGCCCTCTTAACGGCAGGCTTAGTAAATATACTTGAACTGATTATCTTGAAAATTGTTATGTCTATCATAGGGCTATCTCAACGACGTACTTTATAAATCCCTCACAATATTAATACGAGCACTGCAACCTCTCAAATTTTGTTGTTTTATTGCATTTATTACGCATACGTTCTAACGTTTCTTTTTTTATTTGACGCCAAATATTCAAAGTAGTGTTTCTATATTTTATTCTGGACGAAATATCAATTTATAGAAAAGTATAAGGAACACTAAAAATCACATTTGTTTTTTTTTAATTTAATTGCTATATGTCAGCATATTGTAACGTGTATATCCTTTCCTAGGCAACGGCTTGGTAAAAGTACACATGCACACAACAAAATGGAGCTCCGTACTAGACAACGGCCTGGCAAAAATCTTCCCGCTTAAGCGCGTGACAACAATAGAGTCCATTGCTAAGAAACAGCACGGTAAACAGGCTTCGTCATCAATACAGGCTATGCTTTCCGTTGGGTCCGTGCAAAATGGTTATAAGAGAGGCGAATTCCGATGCTGGCAGTTGTTGTAGGATTACAGAACAGTAGTCGGAAGAGAAGTGAGTGGAATTTTCGGAATTGGCAACTGCAGGAATTGGCAAGAAAATTTCATAGTGATTTGAAGTTATAGTTCCTGTGATAAACCCAATGTCCGGAAACGGATAAGGAATCCTAGTGAATTGTGAAATGGGTGGATTAGCGATAGCGCTATAATTGTTGGCGGTTAAGAGTAATTGTAAAAGAAGGCGTTAATAAATCCAATCATCGAATCCAGAAGCCGTTATTATTGGTCAAGGTCCTAAACAAGTGACGATACTTATGTCAAATGATTTAAATATACAACGACAATAACAAGTTAGAAGACGTATACATAGCTTAACAATTCTGGTATATTGCTTCACGTTTGTTTATTTGTGTTAAAAACGTCAAGGCCTTCAGGAGAATTGCATGACACAATACGCCTGTTGCATTCTTCTCTGTGACTTCTGTTAGAATAAGTTTTCACTCTGATGTAAAATTTAAAGATTTATGAACGAGATGTGCTCAGTAACGCACGTAAATTATCCGTTATTTTCCGATTGTAATCAACATCTGAATTTTGTATCAAGTTTTAGTAAGACTCTCAAAAATTAGATTTCGAAAAAAAAACATGTCAAACCAAATAAGAGTCTGCTAATTTTTGCTAATGTTTTCTTAGTCAAAGCACCAAAATTAACATGGAACCAGAAGCTCAGGGTTAGTTTCAGTCGGTACAGAGTTGGACTACAATATAGTTTTTTTATTGCCTATTCATTTACAATCTACTCTATAAAATACGAGTATTAAGTAAATTTAGTAGTCGAAACAGTCAATGTAGGTGCTGTCGGCCAACGCCGGATCACCTTAGGTTACATATGTAAGTCTTCGGGCCTCTGTCTTTTGAGCCTTCTTGCAACGGTTTGTTCACTGGTGAGAGCAGCAATCAGTTCATTTGTATGATTCATATTCCTGTTTCTGTACATGTTGGCCTGGGAATTTATTACATCCTTGATAAATGGTATTTTTAGGTCGTCATGTAAGGTTTGGTTAGAAACATACCATGGAATATTTGTCATCATTGTTAAAGTTTTTGATTGGTATGTCTGTGGTAAACAATATAGTTGACCGAGAAATCGAATCTTGAATTACCAGCAGGGGCTTTTTTTTTCCAAGCGACCAGACCGAAACTGGGTCTATTCATCCTTCTTTATAAAGAGTAACAAGGGCTCTTTCACCAGAGCAAAGCGGCCGAGCGTGAAGTTGACCATTTGCCTCCTTCCAGTGTCCAGGTTAAGAAAG